CCAGAGGTCCTCAAACCCAAAAGCGGGTGCTCGCGCGTACACTTTGGTATTATTAGATATCTACCTTCGAAGGTACGAAAGTACGAAGGTAGAAAGTACGAAGGTAGGAGTCTTCGTAGCATATCTTCGTACTACGTGTACGTGTACACGTAGTACTACGTGTACGTGTACACGTAGACCTAGCATGTCGAGCGAACCTTCAAGAAGGCACATCCGTAGGCTAGCTAGTGCACTGCCACTCTGTCTTCAGTGCCATTGCTCTACGCGTGCACGATTTCGACAAGTATTCTCCGCCTCCGTTCGGAAAAGAATCCGCCGGATATCTTGGGCAGTCGAAGATAACGAAGTTTCACACTTAGATTCGCCGCCGCGGGCGAGTTCCACTACGGCGCCACCGGCGTCCGCGAACCGCCGCCGTGGCCGTGGGCGATCAAAGTGCACCAAGACATCTTCCACACGCTGATGCTCCAAAAGCTGAAAGCGCAGAGGGCGCCCGCGCTGCCGACGCCGGAGGGCAACGCGGCGCAGTACCAGGCGGTGTCGCGCATCGACGGCGTGCTCAAGGCGCTCCACGCGTTGCGCGCGCAGGGCGACCGGTCCGTTCTATCTCACACTGGTCCCCATACGACCGCGTTCGCATGGTGTACGCCGCTCCTTGAGGGCTTTCTCTCCCGGCGCGCGATTCTCTCCGCCCATCACCCCTCGCTCTCAACCCCGAGACACCTCGACGCCTTTCAACTCCACCATTGACGCCTTTCAACTCCACCCCGACTTCGCTTCGTATGGACCCTCGACCCTCAGCTCCGTCCGCGGCGCGCGTCTGCTCGGGATAACGAACGAGGAGAGCAGTCAAACGCGCGTGGACGACCCGCCGCAGGCGGTCAGAGACGCGGTGAAGATCGCCGGAAAACACGCGGCGTTGTGTCGCGCGGTGTTTCTCGTGAGCGAGTCGCCCAAGGCGCTGCGCGCGGCGCGGCAGCAGCGGTCGATCCTCGCGTCCGGCGTCGACGGCTGCGCGGCGTTTCTCGAGGAGCTCATCGCGGAGATGTGGGGCGAGACGCTCACCGCGAGCGCCAAGCCGTGGGCGAACGGCGTCGGCAGCGGCGTCCGACGCGAGCGCGGCGACGGCACGGATGGCGATCGCTCCGGCGACGGCGATCGCTCCGGGGCGCCCGGGGGTCGCGTGTCGTCCTTCGACGGCACGCTCGACGGCGTCGGGAGCGACCGCGAGGGCGCGGAGATGTCCGAGGACATCGCGGGTCCCAGGACGCTCCCCGTCCCAGGGTCGCCGGACAGCCGCGCCGCGCGCGCGGAGGGCGACAGCGAGCTGCCGTCGGACTCCGAGCGCGGGTCGCTGGGGAGCCTCGGCGGCGGGAGCATCGCGGACGGCGCGTGCTCGGGCGACGAGGCGCAGCAGCCGCCGCCGATCGCCGTCCACGCGAGCGTGGGACCGAATGCAGCGTGGGGCACCATGGGGACGTCGTCCACGCCGACGACGTCGCACACGACGAGCAACGGGGGTCCCGACGGCGTCGACGGCGGAGGCGAGACGACTTCCCTGGACGGCGACGACGACGGCGACGACGAGCGCGGGAGCGAGCAGGGCGGCGGGTCGAGCGTGCGCGGCGGCGGCGAATTCGGCGGCGGCGGGAACGGCGACGCGCGCGTCGGCGGCGGCGCGTTGCAGCGCCTCTCCTCGGGATCGAGCCTCGGCGACGTCGGCGAGGCTGGCGGGACCACGAGCGAGGGCGAAGGCGACGAGCTGTACCACGCTCACCGCCATCACCACCACCACCACCACCACCACCACCGCGGGTCCTCCGCGAAGGGCCGTCATCACGCGATGAGCCCCGGGCATCACGCCCATCACGACCGCGGAGGCAGTGGCGACCATCACGACTCTCGCCGCGGCGGCGGCGGCTCGGGATCCAACCCCGTCGTCCCCGGCGTCTCCCTCTCCGGTGTCGTCTCCGGCGTCGCCGGCGACAGCGGCGGCGGCCACGGCGCGTCGTCGCACCACGCGGGGGGCGGGCACTGGCGCGGCGCGCACGGCGGCGGATCCCGGCGCGGCCACGGCTCGCACTCGTCTAGCGCTCACCTCCGCAAGTCGGTGCGCTTCGCGACGACCATCGACGACGGCGGGCAGCGCACGGGCAGCCGCGGGCGGTACTCCCCGCCGCCGAGCCCGCCGAGAGAGAGCGAGGACGCGCGCGAGCTGGACCCGCGCGATCACGTCGTGCATCATCGCGGCGGGCCGCTGCCGTCGTCGCTGTCGTCGCGGCAGAGCAGAGAGGACACGCCGCCGGGGGGGAACATGCACGCGATGCTCGCGCCGCCCGTCGTCGCGCGCGCGGCGAGAGAGGACACGCCGCCCGCGGGCGCGGGACACGGCGGCGGGAGCATCGACTCGACCGCGACGGGGGACGGCGCTGAGGTGCGTTCTATACACTGGTCCCCATACGACCGCGTCGGCGTGGTGAACGCCGTCCCTTAAGGACTTTTGCCGGCGCATCTCTCCGCCCATCCCACGCTTTCAATCCCCGCCTTCGAAGCCTTTCAACTCCAACTGACGCCTTTCAACTCCACCCCGACGTTCGCTTGTATAGAACGGCGCGGAGTACCCGAGCGACGCGGAGAACGCGGAAGAGAACGCTGGAGGAGGAGGAGGAGGGTTGGACGGCGTCGGGGTCGAGGTGGGCACCCCCGTGGGCACCCCAGGGTCGCTTCAGGAGGGCGCCGTCGAGGCGGCGGCGACCGGCGACGACGCGACCGTCGCCCCGCTCGAAGCGGAAGCGGAAGCGGCGGGCGAGGGCGACGACGCGCTGGGCGGGGCGCGCGCGGCGTCGTCGTCGTCGCCCGCGCGCGTGCTCGGGAAGCGCGACGGCGACGCGCGCGAGATATCGCCGAGTCCGGAGGCGAAGCGCAGAGAGACGTCGCCGCCGCCGCCGTCGAGCGAGTGACGACGAGCTCAGCGCGAGAGCGAAAGCACAGCCGCGCGCCGATTGATATTATTAAAGCGCTCCGCCCGCGGCTGAGATGACTTCGCTACTACTGTACGTCTTCGCTTCACTTCGTGAGCTCCTGGAACGAGATCTGCGCGTTCAGGGACCTCAGATACGCCGCTCTCTTCGCCGCCTCGACGTCGTCCCGCTTGCTGCTCCCCTCGAGCTTCATCTTTATCTTTTTCCCGCTCACGAAGTCCACGCCGCGCGCGTCCGAGTCCGAGTCCGAGTCGCTCCCGCTGCTCGACCGCCGTCGCTTGCCGCTCTTCCTCTTGCTGCTCTTCTTGCTCTTCTTCTCCTTCTTCTCCTTCTTCTCCTTCTTGGACGACTTGTCCTTCTTGGACGACTTCTTGCCGCCGCCGCCGCCGCCGCTCGCCTCCTTCGCGCGTCGTCTCTTATTCCCCGCGCGTCGCAGCTTTCGAATCTCGTCGCTCGTCGCGGACGAGTCGCTCATCAGAGACGACGAGTCACTCTCTTCACCCCCACCCCCACCCCCACCCCCACCCCCCCCGCCGCCGCTAGCTCGCACGCGCGGCACCATGCTCTCCAGGCGCAAGTGCGCGTCCAGCGCGCGATTCGACGGGTCGACGCGCGCGCCGTCGCCGTCCACCCGCCATCGCGCTTTCGGGTCCTCCGGCGCCTTCGGCTGCCACGGCGTCGTCGCGATCGTCGTCCCGCGCGCGATCGCCGCGGTCGCGCGCTCGATCCCGAGCTCGAGGCCGCGTTTCGCGTCCTGGCCGTGGCCTTTCCCGAACTTCACCTCGCCGCCGACGCTCCACATCGTGCGGCGTGCGGCGGCGAATGAAACGAGATCCAACGTTAATTAAGGTGCCCGCTCGTCATCGCACGTCCGCGTCCAGTCATAATTGCATTGGAGCGGCAGAGCCGAAGGCCACTCCGAGGAGGCGCGCGAGGCCGTCGCCGCGATGTTCGGCAAGGGAGGCGGGCTCGGGTCTCTGTTCGGGAGCGGGAAGAAGCCAGCGGACCAGCGAGACGGCGCCTCGAGCGCCGCGCGGTCGCCGCCCGCGGGCGTCGTCGCCGATCTCGCGCGACGGGGCGAATCATCGGCATCCGCGACGACGACGACGACGACGACGACGTCGTCGCCGCGGCCGAGCGACATCGCGGACGACGACCTGCCCGCGATCCTGAACCGCGCGGAGGACCTCCTCGAGAAGACGCGGAAGCGATGCGAGCTCGGCGCGAGGACCCCGGAGGAGGAAGGCCGGCAGTTTCTCCGCGTCAACGAGGTGAAACGCCTCCTCGGTCGCGCGCGATCGGCCGCGGCGAAGCTGCCGCCGCCCGACGACGACGACGACGACGCGAGCGCCGCGTGGCGCGCGCGGCTCGTCGTCCTCGACGCGGAGCTCGCGAGCGCGGTGGAGGCGGTCGTGGGCGGCGCGTCGCCCGCGCCGACGCCGAGGGCGGAGGCGCCGAGGGCGGAGGCGTCGACGTCGACGTCGACGCGACGTTCGGAAGGCGGCTTGTTCGCGGGCATGACCGTGTCCCCGATCGCGCCCGCGTCCGCGCTGGGCGGCGCGCTCGGCACCGGCGGCGACCTCTTCAGCGGGCTGGAGGTCTCCGCGGGGGGGTCGAGCCCGGCGGCACCGGCGGCGGCGGCGGCTGCCGCTCCAGCGTACACGCCGCCGTCGCCGCCGCCGCCGCCGCCGCCGCCGCCGGCTCCCGCCGCCGCCCCGGCGCCGTTGGCGTCGCCCCCTCCGCCGCGTTCGCGGTCGGAATCAGTCGGCGGCGGCGTGACGGGCGTTGGGATGCTGGACGCGTCGATGTTCGCCGGGGCGGACGCGATGGCGCCCGCCGACGCGACGACGACGACGACGACGACGACGACGACGGGCGGCGGCGGCGGCGGCGAGTCTTCTTCCGGGGCGAATAAGAAACCGAGAGGGTTCCGCGTCGGGTACGGCCGCGACGAGGGCGACGACGCGGACCGCGTCACCGGCGAAGCGGCCGCGACGGCGCCCGCGCCCGCGTCGACGACGTCGACGCCCGAACCGGCGGCGGCGACGAGCGCGCCCGAGCCGTCGCCGCCGCCGCCGTCGCCGCCGCCGCCGCCGCCGCCGGCGGCGGATGAGGACGCATCGGAGACGCACGACGCGGCGTGCGCCGCGGCCGCGCGCTCGCGGTCCGCCGCGATGCGAACCGCCGCGGACGCGGACGACGACCTCGAGGCTGCGGAGAAGACCCAAGACGAGCTGTGCGCGAAGGAAGACTTCGAAGGGGCGGACGCGCTCGCTGGGAAAATCGAGGCGCTGACGACACGCAAAACGGCCGCTGTCGAGGCGTTACGCGCCGCAGAACTCGCGCACGCGGCCGCGCGCGAGGCGTCGTTGCGCGCGATGGATCGCCGCGCCGCGCGCGCGACGCGGGACGCGGAGACGGCGGAGGCGGCGGCGAGGGACGCGCGCGAGGCGGCGACGGCGAAGGCGAAGGAGCGAAGGAAAGCCGCGGCTTCGGACGCGACGCGCGCGCGCGACGCCGCGTCCGAGGCGTCCGTCGCCGCCACCGCGACGGTCCGCGCGCTCGAGCTCGAGGCGGCGTCGCTGAGAGGGCGGCTCCGCGCGAAGGAGACGGAGCTGTCGCGCGCGAGAGAGGACGAGAAGCGCGCGGTCGACGCGGAGAAGGACGCGACCGCCGCCGCGGCGAGCGGAGAGATCGACGCCGCGGTGGAAGACATGGGCGCCGGCGACGCCGCGACGGCGGACGCGATGCGCCGGGAAGCGGCCGTGCACGCCGCGGGCGCGCGGCGCGCTCGAGACGCGATGGCCGCGCTGGAGGTGGCGCGACGCGCCGAGGACGACGCGCGCGCGGCGTTTGAACGCGCCGCCGCCGCCGCCGCCGCCGCCGCCGCCGCCGCCGCGACGACCGCGTCCCCCGCGGGCGGCGCGGACGCGGAGAACGCGAGCGCGGAGAACGCGAGCGCGAGCGGGATCGCGTGGCCCGATCCCAGACGCGCGGCGATCGACTCCTTGAGAGCGGCGGCGGCGGCGAAGCGCGCGGCGGCGGCGACGAGGCGCGCCGAAGCCATCGACGCCGAGGCGAGTAAACGCCGCGCCGCCGCCGCGAAAGATTTCAAGTCCGCGGGCGCGCACGCCGCGAGGGAGAAAGAGCTCGCGGAGGCTGCGGACGCGATGGAGGCGGACGCGGCCGCGGCGGAGAAGGCGCACGAGGAGGCGGAGAAGGCTGCCGCCGTCGCGGCGAGAAGAGAAAGGGAAGAGGCGCGCGACGGCGGCGGCGGCGCGACCGACGGCGGCGACCGACCTCTCGCGGCCGCGGCGGCGGCCGCGGCGCGAGCGCATCTCGCCGCGCGCGTCGCGAGGTTGCGCCGCGAGGTGGATGTCGACGGCGATCGCTCCGACGCCGGGCGCGCGTTATCGGAAGCCGCGGACTACCTCGAGCGACGCGGCGAGCGAGGACGAGCGACGTGACGCGTCTCAACGTCAAAATGAGCGACGTCGTAGTCTTAGCGTTTACGGTTTCAATCTACGGCACTGTGCTACATAACTTATCATGCACTAGCCTGCGAAGACGAGGGAAGTACTTCCGGAAGTACACGTACATAACTTATGAAACGCTAAGCCTACGAAGACGACGACGTGCCACCATACCGTTTCCGTCGACGCTAACCGTCGACGAAGACGATCGCCGATCACATCATCCCCGTCCTCCCCCACGGCGGCGAGTGATCAAACTGCGGCTTGAAGTCCTTCTTGATCTCCTTCGTCGAGTACTCCTTCAGCATGAGGTGCGAGAGCAAGATGGCGAGCGCGGGGTCCACGCCCGGCTTGGTCGTCACGCACGGCGGGTCGTTCGACCAGAACCCGCCGTTCTGTCGAACCGTGAACAGCGGGCAGTCGTAGTTGGCGGTGTCGTCGGTTACGTCCCCGGTCATCCCAAACGCGACGGGGACGCCCGTCGCCGGAATCGTCACCACGGTGCGTAAAGTCGGATCCGCGCGGTCGAGAAGCGCGAACTCGGTGACGTCCACGTGCTCCATCGTGTCTCTCTCGATGGACGTGTGGTAACTCACGCGGCCGTCTTCGTCCGTGCTCTCGCGCGTGACTTTGTACCACCGACACGCCGCGGTGCCGAGGGCTTGGACGTTGAGACAGACGTCTCTCCCGAAGCACTTCCGCGGAGGGATCGGCAAGCCGCCGCAGCCCATCGCGGCGCCGTACGACGACAACGTCGCGCCCGCGTTCATGTGAAAGTTGCAGATCGCCGTCGCGAGATGCTCGCAGTGGTGGTGCGTGCGACGCGTGCGGAGCATCGCGAGGTACCTCTGGTCGTGGTGCAAGGCGCCGTGGCCTCCCCACTGAAGCGCGACTTTTCCGAAGAGCGCGATGGGAGGCATGACCACCGCGGACCCGGGCTGGCGGACGTTCTGCCAGAACGCGGGCTTGTCCACGAAGTCGACGCGCCACAGCGGCTGCCCGCGCTTCACGTTGTCGCGGTCCCAGCCTCTGACGAAGTTTTCGAGCTCGACGCAGACCTCGCCGCCGCGTTTGCCGCTCTTATTGAGAAAGAACCACGAGAAGTCCGTGAAGCAGTTCGAGCCGTCGAGCACTTGCTCCGGGTTCGTGTACACGGTGTAATCCCGGGAGAGCCACCCGGTCTGTTTGATGGAGACGCACACGGACTCGCCTGAATACGCGCGGAGCGGAGGGGGGGAGGGGGGATGCGGGGGACGTATGCGCGTCAGACGAGGGGGAGATCGCGCACGCCGCGACCTTTCGGGACACGTATGTATCCGACAATTCCATCGGGGCGGACGCGCACCGTCTAGGGGATCGGGGATGATGGTCTTCGGAACCTTCGCGATGACATCGCGCGAGCAGCACGCGCCCATCTCGAAGTGAGAGAGGAAACGCTCGCGAGCTCGGACCGCGGGCGAGAGAGGCGCGCGCGCGACGTGTGCGACGCGTCGGCGGTCTTTGAAATCGCTACATGTAGTTCCTGTCGAGGCGCGACTCCCGGAAACGCCCGGTACAACAAATGTTACACCGGTATCGGTAACAACTTAACCGGGCGAAATGTTATTACACGTTTGAGTCACGCGTCCGCGTCGACCCCGCCGGTCTTCCCCGCGAGCCTCAACGCCGCGGCGTACGCCTCCTTCCGCTTTGCACCCAGCTCCCTGACCGCGCGCTTCGACGCCTCGGACGGGGACTCGCCGTCGTCCAGCATCTCTCGAAGCGCGCGGTCGAGTCCTTCCCCGGTCGAGGCCTCGCCGCCGCCGCCGCCGCCTGCGCGCGAAGCGACGCGCGGGGTGAACACGTCGGTCAGTCGATCGGCGCCTCGGTCAAAGCGATCGATCGCGCACGTTAAAAGGGAAGCGCGGGTGAAGAGAGACGACTGGACGGCGGGAAACGAGAACGGGGTCGTACGGGAAGCGGTGTAGTCTCACCGCCGCTCTCGCCGCCGCCCGTCTCGACGACGAGCGTGATCTCCCCTCGCGGCTTACGCGACGTGAACTCCGCGACCGCGTCGGCGAGCGTGCCCCTCCAGAACTCTTCGTGCACCTGAGAGAGATGGACGGCGGGCGCGACGCGACGCGACATGACGTCGGGGGAGGCGGCGGCGTGAGACGGAGCGAAGAAAAGCCGGAGTCGCGAGGAGACGAGCGAGAAGCGTCGAAAGAAAAAAAGAAGCGCGCGCGCGCGCGAGCCCGGCTCCCGTCGCGCGACGTCCGTCCGTCCGTTCGCCACGGCTCATGCTTTGGTGGTGTGTTCGCGTCCTCAAAGAATTGTTCAGCGGTGTTTCTTTGTTACGGGTGTAATCCTCGCCGTGGCGTATTGACTGACGTCGCGCGTTCGATCGCCGGGCGCGCGGCGCGGCGCGGCGCCGCGTGAAAACTTCGAAAACGAAAAAAACGCGAGAGGGACGACGAACGAGACGAGACGCGACGCGCCTTCGTCATCTCGCGACAGACCGCGCACCGCCTGCCTTCCCCCAACACCGCGACCGCGTCCTCGAGCGTCGCGACGAGCTTATGCGGCGGCACGAAAAACACCGTCGTCCCGACCGCGGCGCCGCGAAGCTCCTCCAGCTGTTTCCGTCGCGCGCCCGACTTGGCCGGGAGAAACCCGGCGAACGTGAACCGCGCCGTCCCTGCGTCGTTTCGATTGGTCGAGGGAACGCCACGTCAGCGAATCTGGCGGCGCGCGATTGCGATTGGTGGACAGACGGAGAATCGTATCGCGAGGGTCGGTTCGGTTCGGTCCCGGCGGCGCGAAAGGGGGGCACGACGCACCGAGCCCCGCGGCGATCACCGCAGCCGCGGGCGCGCACGGCCCCGGGATGGGCACCACGCGGATCCCCTCCGCCGCGCACGCCGCCGCGAGGTCGCCGCCCGGGTCCGCCACCGCGGGCGTGCCCGCGTCCGACACGAGTGCGACGGCGCCGCCGCGACGCAGGCGGTCCATCACGCCGTCCCGCCGCGAGCGCTCGTTGTGCGCGTGGTAGCTCGTCAACGCGGCGGCGTCGACGTCGTACGCGCGGAGAAGACGCCGCGTGTGACGCGTGTCCTCGGCGAGGACGACGTCCGCGGTGCGAAGGACGCGCAGCGCACGCAGGGTGATGTCCTCGAGGTTGCCGATGGGGGTGCCGACGAGGTAGAGCCCGGGCGCGAGCGCGGGGTCGTCCGCGGGCTGCGAGGGCTGCGAGGGAGAGGGCGACCCCGGGTCGTCTTTTCTCGACGCGAACGCCGCCGCCGCGCGCCGCGCGGCGGCGACGACGTCTCCCGCGACGGCGTCGTCGTCCTCCTCCTCCTCCTCTTCCTCCTCCTCCTCGTCCGGATACTCCGATGGATCGTACATGTTCGGTATGCCCTCCAGGATGAGGTCGCGCTCCGCGTCGGAGAGCTGTCCGACGGCGCCGCCGTGCTCGCGCTCCTCCACGACGTATCCCTTCCCCGCGCGGTCGATGTTCTTCGTGTGCGGGTCGCCGTCCCTCTCGTACTCCTCGAGCTCGTCGTCGTAGCCGTCGTAGTCCGAGTCCGGGACCGTCGGGTCTTTGCCGTACGTGGACACCGCCCATCGGCTGTGGTACGTTCTGTGGTGACGATCGTGCCGCGGACGCCGCGGACGGCGGAAGAATCGGCACGCGTCGTCCGCCGCCCGAATGGGATTTGTGGGACGACGCGCGGCGGCGGCCGCGGCGACGCGCGGGGCGCGCGACGCGGACGCGGACGCGGCGACGCCCACCCCGGGTTGGATCGCCGCGGCGTGGAGTGAGGACGCCGCGCGATGGAGCATCGCGCTCCACCGCCGCATCGAGGAGTGATGCGCCCGCGGCTTTTCGATCTCTTCTCGTCGTCTCGACCGACGACGCCGACTGGAGCAGGAATACGCATACGGTGCGTTCTGTGCTCGTGTTTCACCCATCCCTCGGTTTCAATATTTGATCGCGTTCCCTTTCAACTGACCGATGACTTTTTTGTGACCCTAAACCCTGCTGCTGCTGCTGCTGCGGATAGGACGACGCCCTCAGAAGCTGCATGCGCGCCGTCGCGCGCCTGGGTCGCATCGCCGCCGCGTTCTCCTCGCACGTGCGCGCCAACGCGCGCACGATGCCCGCGCTCGCGCTCGCGCCGCCGCGCGCGGCCGTCGCGGTCGCCCCGCGCGGCGTCGCGGCGTCCACGAGATGCGCGACGACGATGACGTGTTCCGCGGCCCGTCGTCACCTACCGTCGCCGTCGCGCCGCGCGTTCGCGTCGCGAGCGACCGCGTCCGCGTCCGCGGAGGCGGCCGCGGAGACGGCCGCGGAGGCGCCCGCGAAGACGGAGCGACGCAAGCGCGTCCTGAGCGGTGAGACTGCTTCCCATACGACCCCGTTCGCGTGGTGCACGCCGTTCCTTGAGGACTTTTCCCGTCGTCACTCTTCACCCGCGCTTCCCTTTCAACGTTTGACCGGTAAGACGTTCGACTGACCGATCGCTTCACCCACAGGAGTCCAGCCCACGGGCTCCATCCACCTCGGGAACTACTTCGGCGCGATAAAAAACTGGGTCGACCTCCAGGAAGAGGTGCGCGCGTCGTCCTCGTCCTCGTCCTCGTCACCACACGTTTCGCCACGTCATCAAAGCACTCACCGTCGTCGTCCTCGTCACCACACGTTTCGCCACGTCATCAAATCACTCACCAATCGCATCCCTCCGCGTCACCCGCCCGATCGATCACCTCTTCACCAGTTCGACGCGTTCTACTGCGTCGTCGACCTGCACGCCATCACGCCGGGGAATCACGACGCCGCGGCGCTGAAAGCGTCCACGCGGTCCTCCGCCGCCATCTACCTCGCCGCGGGGTTGGACCCGGAGAAGTCGAACGTCTTCGTGCAGTCGCACGTCGCCGCGCACAGCGAGCTGTGCTGGCTCCTGAACTGCGCGACGCCGATCGGGTGGCTCGAGAAGATGATTCAGGCGCGTTCTATCTCACACTGGTCCCCATACGACCGCGTCGGCGTGGTGAACGCCGTTTCTTAAGGACTTTCTCTCCCGGCGTCTCTCTCCGCCGATCACCCCTCGCTTTCAATCCCGACACACCTCGGCGCCTTTCAACTCCGCTTCTGACGCCTTTCAACTCCACCCCGACGTTCGCTCGTGTGGACCCTCGACCCTCAGTTCAAGGAGAAGGCGCGAAAGGCGGGCGAAGACGTCAGCGTCGGCCTGCTCGATTACCCCGTGCTGATGGCCGCGGACATCTTGCTGTACAACGCGGACGTCGTCCCGGTCGGGGAGGACCAGCGGCAGCACCTGGAGCTGACGCGCGACGTCGCGGCGAGGGTGAACAACCTGTACGGAGGGAACAAGTGGAAAAAGTTGGGCCCGAAAAAGGGCGACGGCGCGCGAGCGCCGAGCGGCCGGTTCCGCGGCGGCGACGTCCTGAAGGTCCCGGAGGCGTACATCCCGAAAGCGGGCGCGCGCGTGATGTCCCTCACCGACGGCACGTCGAAGATGAGCAAGAGCAACCCCGCGGAGGGGAGCCGGATCAACGTGCTGGACTCCCCGGATGAGATCGCGAAAAAGATCAAACGGTGCAAGACGGATGCGTTCGAGGGCTTGGAGTTCCGGAACCCCGACCGACCGGAGGCGACGAACCTCCTGACGATGTACCAGCTCTGCACGGAGCTGAGCGAGGAGGAGGTGATCGCGGCGTGCGGGGACATGCGGTGGGGGGACTTCAAGCCCGCGCTCACCGAGGCGGTGATCGAGCACTTGAGACCGATACAGTCGAGGTACGACGAGATCGTCTCCGAAGAGGGGTACCTCGACGGCGTGCTGAAGAGGGGCGCGGACGCCGCGAACGAGGTGGCGGAGAAGACGGTCGCGGACGTCCGAGACGCGATGGGCTTCCTTCCTCGCAGCGCGTGAGTCGAGTCGAGTCGAGCGACGAACGCGTTGAATTGAATTATTACAGCTCGGCTTTCGACTCCGCTCTGGACGCGTCGCTCGGTACAGCTGTACCTCCTGCTCCGCCCCCGCCCGCCTCTGCCTCCCCCGCCGCCGCGCTCGCGTCGCCGCCGCCGCCGCCCGCGACCGTCGCGTCGACGTCTTCGATCGCATCCTCGCCCACGATAACCGTCGCGTTGACCCCGAAACTCGCGTTGACGTCGTCGTTACCCCCCGCCGTCGCCGTCTCGTTCCCCGTCGCGTTGAACACCGCGCCCGCGACGCTCTTCGGCGCGTCGTTCAGGTCGAACAGATCCAGGATGCTCCCGTGCGCTTTCGATATGCTCTTGATCGCGCTGCCGTTCTCCGGGGCGACCCAGTACAGCGCGTACAACACCGCGGCGACGCTCCCGGCGCCCATCAGTCGGTTGACGAGCGGGACGTACCCGACGACGGCGCCGTTCGCGTCGACGTCGTCGAACGCCCACAGCGGCGAAAATATTTCATCCAACGGGATCTCGTCGCTGCTGATGTTCGGCAGGACCCAGAACTGTCTCCCCGCGACGATCCACACGAGCGCGAACACCATCGCGCGCGCTGAGAAGATCACGAAGAACGTGGACAAGATGCCGATGCACGCGTACAGGATCGTCTTCTTGAACCAGATGGGCGACAGCGGGAATAAGCACATGAGGACGACGGCGACGGCGGCGGCGAAGGAGACGCAGACGAAGGTCCACGACATCGGTCGGTCGTACTTCCACGCGTAGAACCCCTCGCCGTCGCGCGCGAACGCCTGCGACGCGCTCGGGACGGGCTCGAGGAATTTTGGGAACTTGACGCGCTTCGTGCGGCCCGGGCGCGGGGTCTTGTAGACGCGATCGGCGCGGACGAAGTACCCGGATTTCATCATCTGCGTCGCGATCGCGTGCACCTGGGCGTCGCGATCTTTCGCGGTCGGCACCGTCGGCGTCGGCGCGCCCGTGATGAGCGGCGCGTACTCGTCCAAGATCTCCGGCGACGCGCGGAGCGCGCGGAAGAGGTCCTTGCCGCGGAAGTAGTCCACGCGCGAGTCCCCCATGCGCGGGTCCTGCAATCGCGCGCTCCTCGACTCGGGGCCCTTGTTCCCGCGGAGGACGTACGCGAGCGCGCGGATCGGGTCGCTCGCCGCCGAGGGCTCGCCGCCGGACTTGGCCGCGGCCGCGGCCGCGGCCTTCTTCGACGCCTTCGAGGACGACATCGCGCCGTCTCTCTGATGACGTCGCGCGCGGTCGTGTGCGCGAGATCCGAGGCGCGCGATCGGGAGGAGACGAAAAGTTCAGCTCCGAAACAGCAAACCCGCAACTACAGCCCTTTATCCGTCGCGCGGGCGAGCGAACCGCGCACGATGTCCGCCGCCGTGGACGCCGTCGCCGCCGGCGTCGCCGCCGTGGACGTCGCCTCGGGCGACGACGCGCACGCCCCCCCGCCCGCCGCCGCGGAAGACGGTGGCGAGCAGGTCGTCACCCCGTGGGACGTCGCCGGCGGCGCGGACGGGAAGATCGATTACGCCAAGCTCGTCGATCAGTTCGGCTGCCAGACCATCGACGCCGCGCTCGTGGAGCGCATCGAGCGCGTCACGAACACGCGCGCGCACCCGTTCCTGCGCCGCGGGATGTTCTTCGCGCACCGCGAGCTCGATCAGATCGTCTCCGCGTACGAGCGCGGCGAGAAGTTCTACCTGTACACGGGGAGAGGGCCGTCGTCCGAGGCGCTGCATCTCGGGCACCTGATCCCGTTCCACTTCACCAAGTGGCTGCAGGACGCGTTCAAGGTGCCGCTCGTCATTCAGCTCACGGACGACGAGAAGTTCCTGTGGAAGTCACTGGAGCTGAGCGAGGCGAGGCGCCTCGCGCGCGAGAACGCGAAGGACATCATCGCGTGCGGGTTCGACCCGCGACGCACGTTCATCTTCTCAGACGTCGACTACATGTGCGCGCCATTCTACGTCAACACGCTGAAGATCGCCAAGTGCGTCACGTTCAACCAAGCCCGCGGGATCTTCGGGTTCAGCGGCGAGAGCAACATCGGACAGATCGGGTTCCCGCCGACGCAGGCCGCGCCCGCGTTCCCGGACTGCTTCCCGCACCTCTTCGGCAAATGCAAGAAGAGCCTGCGGTGTCTCATCCCGTGCGCCATAGACCAAGACCCGTACTTCCGCATGACGCGAGACGCCGCGCCGAGGATCGGCGGGCACAAGCCCGCGCTCGTGGAGTCGCGGTTCTTCCCCGCGCTCAAGGGCGAGAGCGGGAAGATGAGCGCGTCGGACCCGACGAGCGCGATCTACGTCACGGACTCCCCCAAGCAGATCAAGGAGAAGATCAACAAGTACGCGTTCAGCGGCGGGCGACTCACCGTGGAGGAGGTGCGTTCTATACACTGGTCCCCATACGACCGCGTCGGCGTGGTGAACGCCATTCCTTAAGGACTCTTACCGGCGCATCTCTCCGCCCATCCCTCGCTTTCAATCCCCGCCCTCGACGCCTTTCAACTCCAACTGACGCCTTTGAACTCCACCCCGACATCGCTCTGTATGGAACGACCCACAGCACCGCGCGCTCGGCGGGGACCTGGACGTGGACATCTCGTGGAAGTGGCTCAACTTTTTCATGGACGACGACGCGGAGCTGAAGCGCATCGGCGACGCGTACGGCGCCGGGGAGATGCTCAGCGGGGAGATCAAGTGCGAGCTGATCGCGTGCCTGACGCCGATCATCGCCGCGCACCAGGCGGCGAGGAGCGCGGTGACGGACGCGCGCGTGGACCAGTTCTTCAGCACCGCGCCGAGGGATTTCCACGCGATGTTCGGTGACATGGAGGGCCCGCCGCCGAATCCGCCGGGCGCGGGGGAGAAGGTGTCGTTTCAAGGGTCGGAGGATCTCGTCGCGATCGGCGCGCCGGGGGTCGGGGAGGGACCGGGGGGGAAGGGGAAGGGCGAAGGCGAAGGCGAGGGCGGGGGCGAAGGCGGGGGCGGGGGCGACGGCGAGGGCGGGATGTCGAAGAACCAGCTGAAGAAGATTCAGAAGGAGAAGGAGATCGCGGAGAAGAAGGCGAAGAAGGCGGCGGAGAAGGCTGCCGCGAAAGCCGCCGCCGCCGCCGCGCCGTGAACGGCGTCGACGGATACGTGAGATTATTTTCCGGGGCGAACGACGCCGCGACGCGACAGGTAATAATAACTTACGTACGCGCCACCATCATCGTTCGCTCGTAAATTATGCACCCACGACGCCTACAATACACCTACAACAACACAACAACAACCTTCTATCATCGCGAGCTATCCGCGCAGTCTACATACACGATCGCCTAGCTTCCCCCCCCCTCCTCCCTCGGCGCGAGCCCGATTAACGCGCGAAGCCGCGGCGATCGCTCCCTCGCGCGCGCGTCCGCCGTCGCGCGCGTCCACGTCAGCGTCCCCGCGGTCGCGAACGTCGCGAGGACGACGCACAGCTTGACGTGGTTCGCGAACCTGCGCGCGGAGCTCCCGCGCCACGTCGTGAACGGGTCAGGTCGCGAGTACCAACCGCCGCCGCGGGCGCCGGCGCCGGCGCCGCCGTGGCCGCCCCCCCCACCATCGCCGACGAGGACGTTGCGCGCGTGCACCGCGCGGTTCAGCGCCTCCGCGCACGCGGTCGCGCCGCCGCTGTCGGGGTGGCGGCGCAGCACGGCGTCGCGGTACGCGCGCGCGATCTCCTCGCGGGTGTGCGCGCGCTCGATGGGAAGACCGAGCTCGGCGAGGCACGATTGCCGCGTGTACGGGAGCGGGCGTCGCGACGACGACGACGTCGACATCTGTGCTGTCGAGAGCGGCCGACGACGACGACGCGCCGCGCCGCGAGCGCTTCTGTTTGGCGACGGCGGCGCGCGCGAGGACGAGGCGAGCGAGAAGGGCGTCACCGCATGCGCGCGAGGATTGCTCGCGCGCGCGTCGGACGCGCGGGACGGAGTGCGACGGCGTCGAGCCTTCCTCGGCGTCGACGAAGAAGTGCCAGCACTGACCCTCGGAGGAGGCCCAACGTCCTGGAAGGGCCAAACGCGTCAGTAAACGCGTCTCTCGATATCGCTCTGCTCGCGTCGCGCACACTTCGCGCGCGCCGCCGCCGCCGCCGCGCGACCTCCGTCTTCGCGCGATGCCGCCCTCATACTCTGCGCGTCTCTCTCGCGCCGCGGCGCTCGCGGTCGTCGCGATCGTCGCCGCGTGCGCGCTGCCCTCGCCCGCGCTCGCCGACGCGACGGCGCGTCCAAGGCTGCGTGTTTCCCCGCGTTCGTTTCGTCTTCCCTCGCCGCGCGCTTCCGGAGAGCGCCGACGCGCGCGGCGCCTCGCGACGCGTCGGCGCGGCGGTTTCGTATCGCGTCGCGACGGTTTCGATCGCGTCTCTTTTTCTCCCCGCCGTCGCGCGTCGAGTCGCGTCGAGTCGCGTCGCGCGCCGCGCGTCGCCGCGGCCGCCGCCGGTTGGTTTTGTTGTTGTTGTTTTTGGCTTTTTTTCCCGCGACCTCCGATACGGGTCGCGCGTCGCGCCGAGCCCATCCCCGATCGACCGCGACGCCCCCCTCCATCCGCATCGCCTCCACGACGCAGGGAGGATCCCTCCGCACCGCCGCGCGTCCCGCCACCGGCCGCGCCGGTCGCGCCGGCTCTTCCTCCGCCTCCGCGCGCGTCGTCAGTTCCGAGACGACCGCGGGGACCGGAACGGCCAGAGCGGTCTCTCGCCCCTCTTTCGACGCCGCCGCCGCCGGTCGCGTCGCGCCGGTCGTCGCCGACCGCGACGACGACGACGCCGTCGCCGCCGTCGCGAGGCCGACGAGGCCGACGACGACGGACGCGCCGCCGACCGTGGACGTCGGCCGCGTCGTTCTCGGAGACGCCGCGTTACCGATCGGGTTCGAAGGCCCGATCACGGACTCGGACGCGAGCGGCGTCGAGGTGATGGGCGTGCGGGTTCGTCACTCGTGCAACCCCGCGGATCAGTCGACCCCTCTCGCGTCCTGTTCCGGCGACACCGCTCCTGTAGGAGACGACGTCGGCGACTTCGCCGTGGCGTCGTTCGGTGACGCGTCCTGGAACGAAAATTACCAGATCCCAGGCTTCGGCGAGCGACTGGTCGAGTACGTCCCCGATCCGTCTGCCGTCGTCGACTTGACCGGGTCGCTGAAGCACACCATATCGAAGATGACCGCGGGGAAGCTCGCGGACGACGCTCACACGATCGAGCCGCAGCACTTTGTGACGGAGAACCCCTCGGCGCATTTCCTCGAAGGCGGCGCCACCGACGGGGGCGATTTCAACGTCTTCGAGCCGCGCGAGAACGTCGCGGGCGGCAGACTCGTGCGAGCGGATTGCGACGCCGCATCGCAGGCGATTCATCAAGGCGCGTGCGATCAACCCGTCGGAGTATCCGGCAGTTACTACTACAGCATCAACGGCATCATCATCTACCCGTCCACACTCCCGGGCTTCCTCCAAGTAACGTTCGACGACATCCGCGGCGACGGCGGCGTCCACGTGGGGCAGTTTTGCGTGTTCATCGGCCACTGGATCGAGAACACGAACACGATATCCGTGGTGGACGACAAACGAACGGAAACGAGCACCGGGATCTTCTTCGCGCGAGAGCTCGACGCGTGCGACGCCTTGCCCCCGACCCCGTGGGAGGGCATCTACGAGGGCCCGCTCACGTACGTCGAGCTCGGGATTGAGCACCCGCAGTACGCATCGAGGGACAAAGACACGTGGGGCACGATGTGGATCATGGGCAGCCCCGTGAAGATCCACCCGGACTTCGAGTTTGACGGTCCCACGGTCGCGGACACGGGCGCGCCGATCACGGGCATGAACATGCAGGACCTCCAGCCGGACCTCACCCCGGTCGCCGAAGCGAACGCCCGCGTTGCCAGCGGTCGACAGCTCGGCATGTACACGGCCACGGCCAAGGGCGTCGCCGCGGTCGAGCTCGTGGACGGCAAGGAACAGCGCGAGTTGCGAGAATGCGTCCTCGAGCTCGCGGAGAACGTCGTCATTCATCCGGACGTGCTTTGCACCGGCGCCGTCGACGGGTTCGACGAAGGCTGCGCCGATATCGACGGCGACACGATCAGACTCTTCCCGAACGAGGTAGACGCGTCGTTCCAGATGGTCGCGATGCCTTCTACTGATCCCGTCTTCCCCGGCGGATGGGTCGACGTCGGCGGAGAGCCGTTGACGATTCCGTTTCAGGAAGCGATCGCGGAGAGCGGCGACGGCGGCGTCGGCCTCGGCGGATATTTCCGCGTGCACCCCACGACCCCCGACGACGGCACCGCGGGGACGTTCTTCATCGTCTCCGGGGAGACCGCGTACCAGCCCCCCGGGACGGTTAGCGTGGCGCGGTACAACGTCCGATACGACCCGAACGACGAGATCCGCGTGGAGCTCCGCGGCAGCTATCGCCTCCCCGTCGAGTTCACCGAGTTTCCGAACAACCGCAACCCGTTCGTCAAGTTCGTGTTCAAACACAAGAAGCCGAACCGCGCGGCGTACAAACGTCGCCCCGACCTCCGCCTCGTGCACGACGACCGTACGCTCGGGACCCGGAACGCCGTTGACACCGAGAACACCGCGTGGGTCTCCCCTTCGGACTTTTGCAACGGAGGCACGTGCCGAAGCGCGTGCGAAATTCGCGTGCCGGAAGACCCCAATAACCCCGGAAACGAGGGCGAATTCTGCGATTTCCGCATCCAGGTGAGGCAAACCGCGCCGGTCATCCCCGGCTTGGCGGACGTCCAAGCCAACGCGCCCAGCCTCGCGCTGCAGTACCTGAGCAACGTCCTCAAAATTCGCGTGTTCATCACGAATCGCGAGTTGAAGGCGGCGTCGGAGCAGGAAGTGACGCCGACGCGACTCCGGCTCGAGTGAGCGATCGCCGGTCCGCGAACATCACACACGAGCCGCGACGACCGCCGTTCGTTCACATTCATCACATTCACGACGACACGCGCGAACGCGTTTATACGCCCTTCGCATCGAACTTTCACGTACACGACGACACGCGCGAACGCGTTCAGACGCCCTTCGCTTTGAAGAAAAGAATTTGATTCATCATCGTCGTCACTTCGTAATCGAATCGACCCTCTCACTCTCTCACCCACCCCCCCGCACCCCCCCCCCACCCGTGTCGTGTCCCCTCTCACGCGAAACCCCCCGTGGTCGGCGTCGCGACCGTCCGCGGCCGCTCCCCCGCCGCCGCCGGCGCGGGCGTCTTCGCGAAAAAACCAAACAGCGATCTCTGCCCCGCCGCCGCCGCCGCCGCCGCCGCCGCGCCGCCCTTCCCCTTCTTGAACCCCCCCGCCGCGGTCGCCGCCGACGACGCCGGGGTCTTGTTGAGCGTGCCGTTCATGCGCGGAAGCACGAGCGACGTGAGCGGGTCGTCGTCGTCCGCGTTGAACGCGGGCGCCGTCGGCTTCGTGGCGGCGGCGAAGGCGGTCGCGTCGGCGTCGGCGTCGCCGTTGCCGTTGCCCGCCGGCGCCGCGTTTTCATTCTCCCCGCACTCGTCCGAGTCGCTCGCCTTGCCCGCGTCGCGCGAATTCGACGGCGGGGACACCTTCTGCTTCTTCCCCGACGGGACGTCCCCGCGCGCGGGCTCGTCGTACACCGTCGCCGCGGCTCGGATCTCATCCGGCGCCTCCTTCTTCTTTTGCTTCTTCGCGGGCGGCGATCGTCCGTCGACGCCCGTCGCGCCAGGGTCCGCCGGTCGCTTCTTCGCGACGGTCTTCTTCGACGCGCCGCCGCAGAGCGCGGACGACGCCGCCTTCTTCGCGAGCTTGAACGGGTTCATCTTCTTCTTCGCCTCGTCCTTCTTCGTCTTGTGCTCCGCCTTCTCCCGCTCTCTCCGCGCGCGCTCCTCAGCCTTCTCCCGCTCCTTCCTCGCCTTGGCCTCCTCCTTCTCCTGCTCCTTCCGCTCCTTCTCCTCAGCCTTCTCCTGCTCCTTCCGCTCCTTCTCCTCAGCCTTCTCTTGCTCCTTCCGCTCCTTCTCCTCAGCCTTCTCTTGCTCCCTGCGCTCGCGCTCCTCCTCGCGCTGCGCCTCTTTCTCCGCGCGCTCAGCCTCCTTCTTCAGACGCTCCTCCTCGCGCATCGCGTCGCGCGCCTTCCGCGCCTCCGCCGCCGCCGCCGCGCGCTCCGCCGCGAGCTCCGCCTTGGTCGGTTTCTTCGGCTTCATCGCCGGCGGCTTGATGAGGTACTCGAGGAGCCGGAGCAGACGACGCTTGAGCGTGTCTCTCGGCGGCATCGTCTTCCCCGCGTCGGTTGACCTTCCGTCTTCCGCGTCGTCCTCGGGCTTCTCCGGGCACGGCGCGAGCCCGGCTTTCGCGAACGACAGCGTCTCGTCCGCGCGAAGCGCTTCAAACTGCTCGTCGAGCGCGTCTTGCGACCACGGCGAGAACCCGTGCCGCAGCGACCCGCGCAGGAGGTCCGCGTCGAAGGACTCGTTCCACCACGACACGAGGTTGCCCTTCGCGATGACGGGAACGACGTCGCGGAACGTCGCGTCGTCCTTCTCCTCGGGCATCGGAGGGACGTACTCCGCCGGACGCGTCGCGATCTCCGCCGCCTCGCGCGCGATGTCCTCCTCGGACTTCTCCACCTCGATCGCTTCCGACAGCGCGGCGCGCTCCTTGAGGCACTTCGTCGCGCGCTGCCACCCGGAGGCGAGCCGCTTCCAGACGTTCACGCGCGCGAGCGCGACGCGCGCTTCCTCGGTCACCGCGTCCGCGGTGAGCGCGAAGGACTCGTCGCACGCTCTGAGGGTCGACAGGCGTCAGGTGGAGTCGAAAGGCGTCAGATACGAAGTTGAAAGAGGCGTCGCGGCGTGTCGGGATCGAACGCGTGGGATGAGCGGAGAGTGACGAACGCCGGGAGAAAAAGTCGTTAAGGAATAAACGACGTTCACAACGCCAACGCGGGATGGGACGCGCCTCAGCGCCGCCTCCCACGTGCTTCGCGCCATGCCGACGGGGACGGCGTTGCGCCCGTCGCCGCCGTCTTCGCCGACGCCCTCGTCCATCGCGTCTGCGATGTGCTTCGGGAGATTCAGGCACGATCGCGGCGCGGTCTCCGTGCCGCATCGGCCCTTCTTCTGCGACGCGCACACGTGGCAGCGTTCGATAGGGCCAGCCGCCGCCGCGGCGGCTTCGATCTCCGCGTGTCGCGCGCCGCACGCGACGCCAATCTTTTCGATGAAATCTAGGAGCGCCAGCGCGACGGCTTGCACCTCCGCGAACGGCCGCGAGATGTCCGCCTCGATCGCGGCTCGGACGCACCGCCGGTCGCGTCCCGGGCCGAACGTGTAGATGGCGTCCTCCACGGACTTGAGCTCGTGGTCTCTCCACGCGTTGGCGCGGAGCTCTTTTTTCGCGTCGTCCGCGGCAGCCTTCTTCTTCTTCTTGGACGCGCGCTTGGCGCCGCGCGTCTCTCGGTCGCCCTCCTCGGAGTCGTCCTCGGAGCCGTCGAAATCGTCGTCGTCGCCGCCGCGCCGCCGCCGAATCTTCTTCCCGACCATCCCCGCGGCGCCTTCCTTGTACGACTCGAAGTGCACCTTATTCCGTTTCCGCGGGCCGAGCGTGAGGTGCGCGAGCGGGTCGTAGTTCGCCGCCTCCTCCTTCGCCTTGCCGACCGCGTCCGGAAGCATCTCCTCCCAAAACTTCTCCGCGTCCACGACGGCGTCGCCGCCGTCCGTGGTCACCGCGAACGTCGCGGTGCTGAACGTGTTCCCAGCCCTGTTCCCGATCGACCGGTGCTCCGCGCGAGAGCCCAAGATTTGATCGATGTCCTCGTTGGCAAACGCCGCGGCTTCTTCGCCGCTCGCGTCGCGAAGCGCGCCGTGGACGCCGTACTTCAGGAGCTGGTTGATCTTCTCCGCGTCCTTCTTGCCGCCGCCCTTGCCGTTCGGCGCGCCGTCGTCGTCGACGTCGCCGCCGCCGCCGAGGACAGCCTCGTCGAGGCCGTACTTCTTCGCGCTCGTCTCGAAGAGCGACTGCTCGTACGTCGCCTTGGTGACGAGTCTGTAGACTTTCACCTCCTTCGTCTGACCGATGCGATGGCACCGCGCCATCGCCTGGAGGTCGTTCTGCGGGTTCCAGTCCGAGTCGTAGATGATCGCGGTGTCCGCGGCGGTCAGCGTGATCCCCATCCCGCCCGCGCGAGTGGACAAGAGATACACGAATCCCTGGCCGTCCTGGTTGAACCGATCGATCCCGGCTTGGCGATCCGCCTGGCTCGTGCTCCCGTCGAGGCGTTCGTACTCGTACTTCATCATCCCGAGGTAGTCCTCCAAGATGTCCAACACGATCGTGAACTGCGAGAAGATGAGAACCTTCTTCCCCTCGGACTTGAGCTTCGCGAGGAGCTTCGCGACGAGGACCATCTTTCCGGAGGCGCCGGTGAGGAGATCGAGCGACGTCGGCGGCGCCGGCGGCGTCGGCGGCGCGACGCCGGCGGCGGCGGCGTCCGCGGCGGCTTTCGCCGCCGCCTCCTCCGCCGCGCGCGTCTTCTTGTCCACGTAGTCTTGCTCCACGCCGTCGCACAGGAACGGGTGGTTGCACACCTTGCGAAGTTCCATGCACAAGTTGCGCAGTTGCGGCACGTTCTTGGACTTGTTCCCTTCCATCAGCACGTGGACTTGCTTCTCGTAAATCATCCTGTAGTACGCCCTCTGCTCCGCGGTGAGCTCGACCCAGACGACGATCTCCTCCTTCGCGGGGATCGTCTCCACGTCCTCCTTCATCCTTCGAAGCATTCTCGGCTGCAGCACCTTGCGGAGTTGCATCACCTGATCGGCGTCCACCTCTCTGTCTTGGCCGCCGCAGTGCTCGTTCTGGAACTCCTCCCACGACGGATACTGCACCGGATCGAGCACGTGCATCATCCCGAACAGCTCTTTGACGTTGTTCTGAATCGGCGTCCCCGTGAGAAGCAACAGCCAGTCGTACCCGATGTCCATGACCGCCTGCGTCGTCATGCTGTTCACGTCCTTGAGCTTATGCGCCTCGTCGACGACGCACAGCGCCCACTGAAACTCCGCGATTAACTCCGTGAGCCGTCTCGCCGTCTCGAACGAGATGAGCAGCACGTCAAACTTCGCCGGTCCCTTCGCGCCTCTCGACTCGAAGTAAAACTCCGTCTCCTGGCACACCTCGCGATCGCGCGCGGTCCCGTCCAGGGTGACGACGTTCATGTCCGTCCACTTCTCCATCTCGCGCTTCCAGTGCCCGAGCGTCGTCAACGGCGCGACGACGAGAAACGGTCGCGGCGCCGCCAGGTGCTTCGTCCGAACGTGCTCCATCACCGCGATGCACTGCGCGGTTTTTCCCAGCCCCATCTCGTCGCCCAGGATGACGTTCTGGCGGCGGCGGTAGTTGCCGACCATCCACTCGAAGCTCGTGACCTGGTACTCGCGCAGCGCCATGTTGTTCTTGAACTCGGGCGGCGTCGGCTTGGCCGGAAGTTTCGCGCCGTTCTTTTGGTTCTCCGCCGCCGTCGCGTGGATCGCGCGTTTCGCCTTCAGGTCGTTCCTCTTCTCGTACGCCGCGACGTGCGCGGCGTCCACGTCGGAGGACAGCAACGCGGCGGTCTCCCAGGTCGCCTCGCCGTACCCGAGCCCGCGCCATTTCACGAGGTACTCGTGCGAAGGCTCCGCGTCGTCCGCGTCGTCGTCGTCGTCGTCTTCCTCCTCCGAGGACTCCCCCTTCTTCTTCTTGGACGTCTTCTTCTTGGACGTCTTCTTCTTCGCCGCCGCGTCTTCCTCGGACGTCTCTTCCTCCTCTTCGTCGTCCTCGTCGTCTTCCGGGGCGTCTCGCTTGTCGATGACGCGGTCGACGACGAGGTACTGCGCCGGGAACGGCTCCGTGGTGAGATCCGGGTTTTGCGCGTGTCGCCGCTTAAACGACACCAGCTTCGGCTTCCCAGACTTGAGCGCGTCGAGGTCGCCCGCGGTCTCCCACGACCGACGACGGTACCCGCATCCTTCCCACTTGACGCAGTACAGCAGCGCGGAGGCGGAGGCGGTTTTTTTACCGCCGCCGCCGCCCCCCTTGGGCGACTTCGCCTTGCTCGCCGGCGACTTCGCCGCCGCCGCGTGCGCTTTCGCCGCGAGGTGCTTCGCCATGACCTCCTTCGCGGCGTCGCTGCCGAGCTCCTCCACCTCGTTCGCGTCGACGTCGTCCAACTCCGCGCAGTACACAATCTTCTCCACGACGTCGAGGTCGTCCTCGCTCTCTTCCTCGTCGCCCTCCGCGGCGTCGTCGTCCGACGCGAGTAAATCGGAGTCGTCCTGCAGCGTGGGTGAAGCGATCGGTCAGTCGAACGTCTTACCGGTCAAACGTTGAAAGGGAAGCGCGGGTGAAGAGTGACGACGGGAAAAGTCCTCAAGGAACGGCGTGCACCACGCGAACGGGGTCGTATGGGAAGCGGTCTCACCTCGCTGTCGTACGCGTACTTCACCGGCTTCGCGCTCGCGGCGCGCCTCGGGGGTAAACTCCGCGACGCGACCGCGACCGTGTCCGCGGCGATGGCGACCGCCTCGATCTCCGCCAGCGCCCTGGCCTCTTTCAGCGCGTCGTCCATTCGCGCGAGGTCCTGCGCGACGACGCGTGCGAAAATGTTCATCGTTCATCGGTCAGTTTTGAAACGGGACGCGATCAAACGTTGAAACCGAGGGTCGGGTGAAAAACGAAACGAAACGAAACGAAACGAAACGAACCTCCGTGGACATCCCGTCCCTCTCCAGGAACCTCGCGACGGCGATCTTCGAGCGCAAGATGGGCTGCTCCTTCCCCGGGGCGTACTGTCCCGTCGCGTCGCAGTCCGCGAACGCCACCGTGTTCCCCTCCGGGTCTCGCAACACGAACGTGAGGTCGAAGTGCGAGCCGCCCGGTCGTCGCGCGGACTGCGGGTCGAGGGTCCGTACGAAGCGACGAACGTCGGGGCGGAGTTCAAAGGCGTCAGAAGCGGAGTTGAAAGGCCTTCGTCGAGGTGTGTCGGGATTGAAAGCGAGGGACCCTGGGCGGAGAGAATCGCCGGGAGAGAAAGTCCTTAAGGATCGGCGTTCACCACGCCGACGCGGTCGTGTGGGGACCGGTGTGAGGAGAACGAACGCGCCTGACAGTAGACGTTTTTCGCGTAATGCACGAACGACGCGTCCGATCCGCGCGCGCCGCTCTCGCGCGGCGGCGCGAACGCGTAGTCGTCCAGGTCGTCGATGCTCTTCTTGGCCGTCGTCTTCTTCGCGACCGTGGACTTGAGCCCGAGCTCTTTCGCGGACGGCAGCGCCGCGGCTCTCTGCGCGGCCTCCTCGTCCTTCGCCGCGATCATCGCGAGCGCTTCCTTTCGCTCCTCCGTCATGCCCTCCACCTCCGCGAACGCGGTCGGATCGTTCGCTTCGTCGTCGTCCTCCTTCTTCTTCTTCGCGGCGTCGACGGCGTCGACGGCGGCGGCGTCGACGGGCGCCACTTCTTCATCCGCCGGCGGCGGCGAGTTCGTCTCCTCCGTCATCTCGTCTTCCCTCGTCTTCTTCTCAGCGTCGTTCGCGTCGACGACGACGACGTCCTCGGCGGGATCGGTGACGTTCGACGTCGCCGGTCCGCTCGGCGGGCGCGACGCGAGCGTCTTCGCGAGTTTCTTGTCCGCCGCGGAGGTCTTTGGCATGTACGATACGACTCCCGTGGGCCGTGCGGGACGGGCTGCCGCGCGCGCGTTGCAGTGGCCGGCGGCCGGTCCGATGCGCGAGATTCGATATTCAAAAAAAATAAATCCTGAATGCGACGATTCCTTTGTGCAAAAAGTTCATCGATGCGTTGAAAGGGGACGCGATCAAATGTTGAAAGCGAGGAGCCGGTGAAAAACGCACCGATGACCGCGCAGCCCGAAGCGCACGGAGCGTAGTGTGGACGTGGGCACGGGCGCTGCGCTGATGACTGCGCTGCGCTGCGCCACTTCGCGGCTTGATGAGGCTGCGCACACGCTCGCGCGCGGTTCGTTGAGGGAACGAACGCGGACGCCGGGGCGACGGCGCGCGCGCGGGATCGATCGCGGCGGCGACGGCGAACGCGGCGCCGGCGTTCGATCGATCCCCGAGGGCGCGGCGAGCGATCCTCGGTCCTCGCGACGTTCGTTCGCGCGCGCGTTCGAGCGATCGTTCGTTCGTTCGATCGATTGCTCTTCTAGAGCTAGGGCATCGTCGTCACGGAGGAGGATGCCGCCCCGCAGGCCGAAAACGACGCGACGACCCGCGGGCGCGTCCTCCCGGGGGAGGGCGCCCGCGACGGAACCCTCGTGGGCGCACTCGCAGGCGATCGAGCTCTTGAACGACGCGAAGCTCGCGACCGACGCGAGCGCGAAGACGTCCGCGCTCAAGGCGCTCACGGAGCTCGTCCTGCGAAAAGATCCGAACGGACTCCTCGCCGAGTTCCTGACGCCGCTCCTCGAGCTCCAGGTGGACCCGACGCCGGCGGCGCGCAAGTACGTCGCGAGCCTGTGCGAGGAGGTGGTCGTGAGCCACCCGGATCACATCGTCCCGTGCGTCGGCGCGGTGCGCGCGCTGCTGAAGGACGAGACCCCCGTCGTGGTGAAGACCGCGGCGAAGAGCGGGCAGGTCATCTTTCGCGAGGCGCTGATCCAGGCCGCGACGCTCGGGGAGGGTCCCGCGGTGCCGAAGCACGTCACCGAGACGTGGGCCGCGGCGCGCGCGATCAAGGACGACGTCCGCGCGCTCGTGCTGAGCGATCGCGCGAACGACGGCGTTCGCATGCAAGCTGTCAAATTTCTCGAAAAAGTCGTGCTCCTGTTCCACGGCGTCGACTGGGGCGCGTCGATCGTCGCGCACGACCACGCGACGCTGTCCATGGACGAGCTCCAGACGGAGGCGGACGATCTCATCGGCGTGCTGTTGGAGTGCCTGAAACCGGACGCGTGCGCAAAGCAGAGCGGCACGGTCACGCTCGTGATGATCGGCGCAGCCGCCAACGTCACGACCAAGCTGCCGATGTACGCCGCGTTCGTCCTCCCCGCGCTCCTCGAGCTCGCGGCGTCCTACGCGGGCCAGACGGAGGTGCGTCCTATCTCACACTGGTCCCCATACGACCGCGTTCGCGTGGTGAACGCCGTTCCTTAAGGACTTTGCCCGGCGCATCTCTCCGCCCAGGGTCCCTCGCGTTCAATCCCGACACACCTCGACGCCTTTCAACTCCGCTTCTGACGCCTTTCAACTCCACCCGTAGGACGCGGCCACCGCGGCGAGCGCGAGCGCGAGCAAGGAGCTCAGAGGGACGCTGCTGAACGCGCTGAAGAGCGGCGCGCGGGAGATGGAGCCGTTCAGAACGGAGATAGAGACGGCGCTCACCGAGCTCGGCGCGGGCGACGCCGTCGACGCGTGGAGACGACAGACGGAGCGCGCCGACGCGAAACGGAAAGAACGCGAGGCGGCGGCGGCGGCGCGAGGCGGCGGGGACCGGGACGCGGACGACCGCGCGAAGCGGCGGCGGACGGAGGACGGAGGCGGCGACGGTCCACATTCCGGGGGTGCCGGTGACGGTTCGTATTACGACGCGCGGCCGACGGACCCCGGGCTCGTCGCGCAGGTGCTCTCCACGATCGCGTCGCTCGCGTATTCCGACCGCGCGATGCTCGACACCTTCGTGAGGCAACTCGGACCCGCCGTCCTCGCGGACGTCGTGATGGCGCAGACGATGGAGAACTTGCACCTCGTCGGGGGGCGGACGATGATCGACGTCCAGGCGGGGATGGGACGCGGCGTCGAGGGGATCATCGAGCGCGCGGCGGCGCTGCACGCGGCGGGGGTTCGAGAGGGCGCGGCGCCGGGCGCGGGGGGGACGGGTCGGGTGCGTTCTATACACTGGTTCCCATACGACCGCGTTGGCGATGTGGACGCCGATCCTTGAGGACTTTGCCCGGCGTGTCTCTCCGCCCACCCCTCCCTTTCAATATCCGCCCTCGGCGCCTTTCAACTCCAACTGACGCCTTTCAACTCCACCCCGACTTTCGCTTGTATAGAACGGCCCTCGGATGGGAATGAAGACGAGCAGCGACGGCGAGCTCATCGAGCTCGACGACGACGACGACGCCGACGCCGCGGAGGAGGAGGACGAGGAGGACGCGGCGGCGGCGGCGCGGCGCGCGGCGGGCCCGTTCAAGCCGCGGTGCGGACCGATGTCGGACGCGCTCCGCCGCGGGCACGTCTCCTTCGCGCTCGCGAGGATCGTCCAGGCGCGTTCTTCTCACACTGGTCCCCGTACGACCGCGTCGGCGTGGTGAACGCCGATCCTTAAGGAGTTTTCCCGGCGTTTCTCTCCGCCCAGGGTCCCTCGCTTTCAACGCCCGCCATCGACGCCTTTCAACTCCGCTTCTGACGCCTTTGAACTCCACCCCTCCAGGCGGCGGATCCGCACGGCGCTGTGAGTAACATGGGCGCCGCGGGCGTGCAGTGCGCGCTCGCGGCGCGGTTGGCGACGTCCTCGGTCGCGGCGTCGTTGGCGAGCGAGGCGGCGGCGGCGGCGGCGCGCGAGGAGGACGACGACGAGGAGGAGGAGGAGGAGGAGGACGCCGGCGGCGCATTCGCCGTCGGCGGCCGGCTCCCGGAAGGGTGCGGCGGGTTGCTCGTCGCGCCCCCCGGCGGGAGCGCGCACAGACCGCCCGCGGCCGCGGGGTTCATCGACTACCTCGTTTCGTCGCTGCCGGACCCCGCGGCGGTGAACGCGGGCGCGAGGCTGCTCGCGGCGATGTTCGTGAACGAGACGATGGACGACATGGAACGCGGCGACGGCGGGGGGCGTCTCGCGGGCGCGTCGAAGAAGGGAATTAACGCGAAGACGATGATGGGCGGATACGCGCGGACGCTGATGACGATCGCGGTCGGTCTCGTGGCGTCCGACTCGGCCGCGCGCGCGGAGCATCTCCCGAAGCTTCTCGTGGACGCGCCGCACGTGCCCCCCGCGGCGACGCGGCTGCTCCGCGCGATGTGCCAGCTCCCTCTGCCGCCGCTCCCCGCGTCCACGGCGAACGCGTCTTCGAAGACGTCGTCGGACGAGGGCGGCGGCGGCGGCGTCGCGTCGGTCGTCGACGCGCTCGGGTTCGAGGTCGCGGACAAGGAGCGCGTCGTCAAGTGGGGCGGTCGCAAGATCCCGAGGAACGCGGAGACGGTGACGCTCGCGCTGAGCGCGTTGCAGACGATCATCGACCGCCGGCCGACGTGTCGCGCGTCGTGCCTCGAGATCGCGCTCGAGTGCGCGACGCACGCGGACGAGACGATTCGCGGCAAGGCGATTCGCGTCGTGTCGGGGGGTTTACACCAGCTCCCGCACCTCGCCGCGGGCATCGAGGCGTACGCGGCGCATCACCTGGGAGAAGCCGCGCGCGAGGGCGCCAAGGAGCTGGATAAGGCGAGGGCGCTCGCGGCGAAAGCGGCGGCGTCCATCGCCGCGGACGTGAAGAAGAAGAAGGACGCGGAGGACGCGCGTCTTCGGAAGGCGGCGGCGCTGAAAGCGGAGGCGGAGGGCCGGAGCGTCGAGGACGTCGAGAAAGCGCTCAAGGAAGCCAAGCAAGGCAAGGAAGGCAAGGATTCTGAAGAGGAGGCGGCGGCGAACGCGATGCGCGCCGCGGAGGAGGCGGAGGCGAGGACGCTGCGCGCCGCGTCGGCGGCGGCGATCGCCGCGACGTCGCGGCACCTCCTCTTGTTTTGCGCGCTGTGCCACAAAAAGCCGTCGCTTCTGCGGCCGCTGTTTCAAGCGTACGCGGACCTCCCGCCCGAGCTCCGCCCCGCGGTGGTCTCGAACGCGTCGTTCGACGGGCTCGTCCGCGTCGTCGGCCCGACGTCCGAGGCGCTCGTGGAGATCATCCGATCCCCGCCGAAGGGTTCGGAGTCGCTCGCGCTGCGCGCCGTCGAGGTCCTCGCGGACGTCGTCGACGCGATGAACAGAGTCGACGAAGCCCCCGCGCTCGAGGGCGGCGCGGTTCCGCCGCCGCCGCCGCCGAAAGCCGCGCCCGTCGCGCTCGTGCAGGCTGCGGAGGCGCTCTCGGAGGCGTGCGGCGGCGACATCAAGTACGTGATGCCGCTGACGAGCTCGCTCAAGAAGGACGTCGTCGCCAAGTCTCTTCTGCCGCGCGTCGTCGGCGTCGACGTCGACGCCTTCCGCGAGGTGCTCGACCGTCTCACCGCGACGACGCCGGCGAAGCCGCTGACGGCGACGGAGATCTTGATCGCGCTGCACGACGTCGACCCGGTGCGACACGGCGTGCCGCTGAAGAAGATCATAGACGCGTGCGGCGAGTGTTTCAATCGCCCGGACGTCTTCACGCCGGAGGTTGTCGCCGCGGCGTTGCAAAAGATGGTGGAGGCGACGCCGCTGCCGCTGCTGTTCATGCGGAGCGTGATCCAAGCGGAGCAAGCGGCGCCGAGCTTGCGGGAGTTCACGCTGGGGCTGCTGCGGACGTTGACGCGGCGGCAAGTGTGGAAGATGGACGGGAAGATTTGGGAGGGCTTCTGCAGGTGCGCGAAGCGCGCGACGCCGCGGTCGTTTCCGGTGATGATCGACCTGCCCCCCAAGGCGCTCGAGGAGCTACTGAATAAGGCGCGTTCTATTTCCACACTGGTCCCCATACCATACACCGCGTCGGCACCCGTGGTGAACGCCGTTCCTTGAGGACTTTACTTTCTCTCCCGGCGCGCGTTTCTCTCCGCCCATCACCCCTCGCTTTCAATCCCGACGCGCCTCGACGCCTTTCGACTTCAAGTCTGACGCCTTTCGACTCCGCCCCGACGTCGCTTGGCGCGGAACGACCCTCAGTTTCCCGCGCTGCGCGAGCCGCTGCGGGCGTACGCCTCGAGCGCGGCGGTGTCGCCGAACGTCCCGAGAGCGATCGCGGCGCTGCTGCAACAGGAGAAGGAGAAGGACAAGCCGCCGCCGCCGTGACGAGCGAGCGGAGGACGCGAGACGCGCGAACGATAAACCCTTTAGACGACTTCAGTACATTTACGAAGACGACGACTTCTACTCGTCGCGCGCGCGCGTCCTCCCTCTTCGCCGCCCTTCGCGCGCCGCCCGCCCGCGACCTTCCTTCCTTCATCCCTTCGCGGTCACGGCGGGCAGTAGTACCCGAACAGGATGCCCTGGATGCACGTCTGTATCGGCTGGTCGTACAAGATCGGTAACAATATCGCCGCGCCTATGTTCCCGAGACTGAGGAACGACGCGAGAAACGCGCAGAAGATGATCACCCCCTTGATCTGATCCGGATCCGTGAAGAAGTTGCTGTACGTTCCGATGTACAGCCCGTCCTCGTCGCGGTCGGGCTCGTCCTCGCCGCCGCGCTGCTGCTGGCTCGACGACGGCGACGGGTCCCCGGTCTCGTCGCGCCCGGACGCGCGCGGGAGGAACGGCGACGCGTTGGCGACGATCTTCGGAAGCGACGACGGCGACGGCGACGACGCGGTGGACGAACGACGCGCGGACGCGACGACGCGCGCGGCGGTCTTCGACGACGTTCGCGTCGCGCGCGACGCGAACGGCGTCGTCGTCGTCGCGAGCATCGTGGCGGGGCGGTGGTGCGACTCGAGCGGCGTCCTCAGCGCGTGCGGATCTGAAGTAGGCACGCCCTGCGTGCCAGCTCACCAGCAGCAGCACCAGCTGAGCATCAGCACAACGACCCTGCCCGGGCTCTCATCAGGTGCGTTACGAACAGAAGTTTTTCACCCAACGCTCGGTTTCAACATCTGATCGCGTTCCCTTTCAACCGACCGATGCATCGCATCAACCTCGATCGTCGTCGCGAGGTGGAAGTGGACAGGTCGAGCTCGCGCTCTCGTGTCGCGCTGCTGTCGTCGCATCGTTGTTCACTCCGTTCGCGCGCCGCCCTCGCGAGATGCGCCGCGCGATATCGCGCCTCGCCCGGCTCGAGGCGGACGCTCGCGCGGCGCGCGCGCTATCCTCATCGGCCGCGTCCGCGTCCACGAGCGGCCGCGACCGCGTCGGAACGTCGCGCGCCGCCGCGGTCATCACGGACCTCCGCGCGCGACGCGAGACGAGCTGGTGGGATCGCAACGCCGCGCGGAACGAGCGGCGCGAGAAGGAGCGCCTTGAGCGCCGCGATCGCGCGCTCGCGGCCGGCGACCTCGCCGCGATCGTCAATCCGCCGCGTCGCGTCGCGCTCGGGCGCGAGAAGAACGTCTTGCTGAACAGAGAGCTCCTGAACGCGCGAGGCGCGGAAGAGATCCTCGCGCTGTGCGTCGACCGGCGCGACGACTTCGGTACGTTCTATACACTGGTCCCCATACGACCGCGTTGGCGTGGTGAACGCCGATCCTTAAGGACTTTGCCCGGCGTGTCTCTCCGCCCACCCCTCGCGTTCAATCCCCGCCCTCGACGCCTTTCAACTCCAACTGACGCCTTTCAACTCCACCCCGACAACGCTTTAGACTTCGTCGCGGTCGCGACCGCGATCGTCGAGCTCGCGACGCGCCAGCGCGCGCTGCCGTGCGGCGACGACAACGGGCACGTCCACGTGATGAGAACAAAAACAAAAACGCATCCGACGAAGCCGTCACGAAGCGGCTACGCGGCGTGGGAGTACTCGCCCGCGACCAGGGCGCTCGTGTCGGACCCGCGGTACAAGGCGCTTCTCGAGCTCGCGCGATCGAAGCTCCACGAATTTCGTGCGAGAGAGCTCGCGAACGTCCTTCGCGCGCTCTCGTCGCTGCACGTCCCCGCGGAAGACGCGGAAGACGAGCGCGAGCGCTCGCCGCACGTCAGAGGGCGCGGAAAGGCGAGGGAGCGGTGGGAGGGAGAGGCGAACTACGCCCCCGAGCGCGAGATCGTCGCCGATTTCGCGCGCGCCGCCGAGGATCTCCTCAGGCGCGTCCTCCGTTTACACTGGTCCCCGTACGACCGCGTTCGCGTCGTGAACTTCATTCCTTAAGGACTAATAAGGACTTTCTCTCCCGGCGCGCGTCTCTCTCCGCCCACCACCCCTCGCTTTCACTCCCGCCAACCCTCGACGCCTTTCAACTCCACCCCTGACGCCTTTCAACTCCGCCCCGTCGACCCTCAGCCGACGCGGCGACGGCGGCGACCGCGTCTCCTCGCGGCATCTGTCCATGGTCCTCTCCGCGTTCGGCGGGTCCGCGCCCTCGCTCGCGAACGCGATCGGGAGGAGGATGAGCGAAGACACGTGGCGCGGCGTCGCGCGGATGGTCGCGAACGACGCGCGAAGCGGCGCGATGGACGCGCTCACGGTGTCGGGTGCGTCGTACTGGTCCCCGTACGACCGCGTCGGCGTCGTGAACTTCATTCCTTGAGGACTTTCTTTTCCCCCGGCGGCGGGCGCGTCTCTCCGCCTCCGTACCCCTCGCTCACGATCCAGGCACACCGACTCCACGCGTCCATCGCGACTCCGACGCCGACTCCGACGCCGACTGACGCGCCCCCGTGCGCCCGCCGCGCCGCCACCCCTCCGCCCCTCCTCCAGCGACGATGCGCGCCGTCGCGGAGACGCGAGCGCTCGCGGACGCCATCGACTCGTTCTCCTCGGGCGGTCTGAACGACCGCGCGCACACGCGCGCCGCGCTCGCGCGCGCGATCGAGCGGACGATGCACGAGATGTCTCCCCGGTCCGTCGCGTGGACGCTGAAGGCGCTTCGCGACGTCCCGAGCGTCGCGGCGGCGCTGAGCGAGCGCGGGTGGGACGCGGTTGCGGCGGGCGCGGCGACGGCGGCGCGCGAGGCGCGTCCTCGACGCCCTCGAGCCTACGATGCCCCGGACGGCGTCTCGGTGACGGCGTACGTCGACGCCGCGAGCGCGCTGGCGGAGGCGTGGACGACGCACCGCGGCGGCGTGTGCGGCGCGGACGACGTCGACGTGGGGGGGTACGATCGCGCGAGGGAGGGTTCGTGGCGCGTCGTCGCGCGCGGGTTCAAAAAGATCGCGACGTCGCGGTACCCGCGCGACTGGCGAGACGTTCATCGCGCGTTCTGCGCGATCGCGAACTGCGCGCCGCTGCGTCGCGCCGCGGAAGAGGAGGGCGAAGCGTTGTACGGCGCGCTGCGCGCGAGAGCCGCGACCGCGATGCGTCGGTTTGACATCCATCAGACGCGCGAGACGTTCCACTCCGTCTCGAGGCTTCCGCGCGCGATTCGCGCGTTGAGGACGCGCGCGGGCGCGGGAGACGCTGCCAGGTGCGTTCTGTACGTTTTTCACCCACCGCTCGGTTTCAACATTTGATCGCGTGGGTCCCTTTCAACTGACCGGTTGACCGGTGCTGTTTTCGTCAGCCCCTCCGCGCTCGAGACGCTCGCGGAAGCGATCGAGACGAAGTTCTCGCCGTATATCTACGACGCGAGCGGCTTGAAAGAAGCGCTCGTCGCCATCTTAGGATGGGAACCGCCGGCGGCGAAGAGCGACGACGACGACGACGGCGAGGGCGAACGCTCGCGCGACGACGACGACGACGACGCCAACGACGCCGCCGCCGCCGACGACGACGCGTGGCTCGATCGCGTCGCCGCGTCGGACGTCGTCAAGGTTCTCCACACTGGTCCCCATACGACCGCGTCGGCGTGGTGAACGCCGATCCTTAAGGACTTTGCCCGTCGTCTCTCTACGCCCACCCCTCGCTGCTTTCTATCCTCGCCCTCGGCGCCTTTCAACTCCAACTGACGCCTTTCAACTCCACCCCGACGTCCTCGTCCTCGTCAAGGTTCTCCTCGTCCTATGCCACCTCGAGACCCCGGACGACGCGATGATCCTCGGCGGGCACGCCCGCCGCGTCGCGCGCGCGTTCGTCGCGCGCCACCTCGAGATGACCCCGAGGGAATTCGGGCTCGCGTCGCGCGCGCTCGCGGCGTTGCCGGCGGCGGGACGCGAGATCGCGGACGCGGACGCGGACCGCGTCGCGAGCGCGGCGCAAGAGGAGGTGAGACTGCTTCCCATACGACCGCGTTCGCGTGGTGAACGCCGTTCCTTAAGGACTTTTCCCGTCGTCACTCTTCACCCGCGCTTCCCTTTCAACGTTTGACCGGTAAGACGTTCGACTGACCGATCGCTTCACCCCACAGGTGACCGCCGTGCTCCGCAACGCGAAGAGATCGGGGATCGGAGGAGGAGGAGACGGCGACGACGAGGAAGACGACGAGGACGCGCCGACCGCGTCGACCGCGTCGACCGCGTCGACCGCGTCGACCGCGTCGGCGCGTCGTCAGACGGACTACGCCAACGTCCTCGAGGCGCTCGCGAAGGTTCCCTCGCTCCGGGACGCGACGACGCGCGCGCGGCGGTGGGACGCCGTCGCGCGCGCGCAAGACGCGCTCGCGCGAGACGCGCTCGCGCGCGCGCCCGAGGGGCGCGCGTACGACGCGCGCGCGCTCGCGAGGACGCTGGACGCGTGGGTGCGTGCGCCGCGCGCGCGATGACGCCCGCCCCCCCGCCCGCGATGTGTTCGGCGGCGCGGCGCGTCGCTTCGTCTCGTCTCGTCTCTTTTCTTCTCGTCTCTTTTCTTTTCTTTTCACTGTTCTTCGTCGTCCCGCGCGCGCCCGATTTCGGCGTTCGGAAGCTGAGCGCGTCGACTGACCGACGCGCGCTTTCGCCGCGCCCCCGATGACGCGACGCAGGCGACCATCCCGAGCGTTTTTTTGGACGACGACGTCGGGCCGTCGTCGGAGACTCGCGAGGCGCTGAGCGCGAGCGCGCGGCGCGTTCTATACACTGGTTCCCATACGACCGCGTTCGCGTGGTGAACGCCGATCCTTAAGGACTTTTCCCGGCGCATCTCTCCGCCCACACCTCGCTTTCAATCCCCGCGCGCGACGCCTTTCAACTCCGCTTCTGACGCCTTTCAACTCCACCCCGACATCATCGCTCGTATGGAACGACCCTCATCAGGCGCGGCCGCTCGCGAATGAGCGCCGAGGATAAGGCGCGCGCGGCGAGGGCGTGCGAGGCGTTGGGCTTGGCGTTCGACGAGCCGGCGCTCGCGAGCGGGGACGAGGACGAGGACGGGGGCGATTCGGGGCTCGAGAAGCTCTGAGAAGCTCCGAGCGTCGTCGCGCGCGGAAAGCGGCGGCTGGCGGCGACGTGAAGTAGTTTCGTGTTTATATACAGTACACAAACAAAATACAAGTGTGAAGGTGTGCACAGGGGTACTCCGCGCGATTTCGAGCGCTGTGTGTACGTCACGTCGACGTCGCGTCGCTCACTCGGTCGCCGCGGACGAAGCCGCGGTCTCGGCGGCGGCGGCGGGTGCCGCCGACGCCGGCTCGGCAGCAGCCGCCGCGGTATCGGCGTCCGCCGCGGCGGCCTCGACGACCTCGTCGGCGGACGGTGCCGCGGTTTCCTCGTGGACCGCGGCCGCGTCGGGCGTCGCCGCGGCGTCGGTCGCGGTCGCGTCGGTCGCGGTCGCGGTCGCGTCGGTCGCGGTCGCGTCGGTCGCGGTCGCGGTCGCGGTCGCGTCGGTCGCGTCGGTCGCGGTCGCGTCGGTCGCGTCGGTCGCGGTCGCGTCGGTCGCGGTCGTGGTCGCGTCGTCCGCGGTCGCGGCGGCGTCGTCCGCCTTCGCGGCCGCGTTGTTCGCGTCCGCGGCCTCGGTCGCGTCCGTCGCGGCGGCGGTCGCTTGCTCCGCTTGTTCCGCGCCCGGCGCGTCCGCGGGGATCGCCGCTCGCGCGCGCAGCCCGTCGAGCGCCGCGGCGTTCGAATCGAACGACTCTTTCATGTTGTTTGCCGCTTCTTGGACCTCTCCGGCCTGGCTCGTCACGGCGGACACTTCGGAGGCGAGGTTTTCTTCTTGCGCCTCCGCTTCGCCCGTCACGAGGCTGTCGGCGGCGTCGAGCGCGGCGTCCGCTTTATCTCGACTCGCTTTCATCGCGGCAGCCCTACGCGCGGCTTCTTCTTCGCGTTCCGCTTGGCGCGCCGCGCGCGCGGTCGCCACCTTCTTCTCGTACTCCGCCTTGGCGGATTCGAACTCGGCTTGCATCTTCTTCGCCTGTTCCTCGAGGGCTTTCACTTGCGCCGCCGCGGCGGCAGCCTTGTCTGCTGCATTCTTAGCCTCGCGCGCGGCGATGCGCTTTTTCCGCGCCTCTTTCGCCGCCTCCGCGGCTTCTCGCGCGGCTTTCAGTTTGGCTTCGACGGCGGCTTTTTCGTTTTTCGCAGCTTCGAGCTTGGCTTTCGCCGCCGCCGCCTTCGCGGCCGCCGCCTTCTTCGCCTCCTCGGCGGCTTTCATGTCCTCCGCGTGCCGCGCTTGGAGGCGTGCTTTTTCCGCCTTCGCTTTCGCCGCCGCCGCCTTGGCCGCCGCTGCAACCTTGGCGTGCGCGGCGTTCGCGTCGCGCAGAGCATTTTCCGCGTTCTTGCGCGCCGCCTCCGCTTGCATCGCGCGCGCGGCTTTAGCTTTCAGATCTTGCATGTGTTTCGCCGCGGCGGCTTTGAGTTCCGCGGCTTTTCTCGCTGCTGCTGCTGCTCTCGCTGCTGCTGCTGCTCTGATACGTGCTTGTATTGCAGCAAAGGGATTGAAATGATGTCTCCTATGATGATGATGATGATGAAAAAGGCCCCGACCGAGGTCGCTCGTCGCGTCTTCGCGATCGTTCAGGGAGCCGAGAGGGACTTGAGATTCTTCGAGGGATGCTTCGCCGAGCGCGGGGGATCGATCCCCGATCGTGGCGCCGCCTCGTTCGAGCGCGACCGCGCCGATCAGCGCGCCGACGACGAGCGCGAGCGCGAGCAGCGCCGCGCGCGTCGTGAAAAAACCCCGTCCGCGCGCGGCGGCGGATTTCGGCCGCAGAAGCGGCGCGAGCTCGGTGGTCATGACGTCGTTCGCGTCCGCGCGCGACGAGTGATCGCTCGGGGGTCGCGCGGGGGCGGATTTCGCTTCGTCGAGAGGGTGTTACCTCCTCTCGCGACCGATCGGACGCGCGGGGGCGACGCGTGCGCGGTGCGAGAGTGCGTGAGCGCGTGGGGGACGGGAAATCGTCCTCGCGGGTGGGCGGGTGGGTCGCGCGCGCGCGTGTCTGTCGCGATCGCGCGCGTCGCGGGGGAGGGCGCAAAAAGGAGGTTACGTAGCCCTACAGGAGGATCGATCACCTCTGCGCGGCGCTCGTTCGACAACCCGTGGAGGTAAATTAACTCAACAATCGACGATTAAACTCGACCCGCTCCTTTTTTTAAATGTGAGCGCCCTCCCCAGCCAGAAAGGGTTTCTCTGCCCAAGAAGAGAGCCGTGGGTCGAAATTTTCAACCTACCTGCTAGCTAGGGCCGATCAAAGGCACCTATCAAACGCGTTTGAGTCCGTCTCCGAAACCTCGCCACAGGATGCGACGATCGGGCACTGCCGATGAAATCGGTGACCTTTCCTTCCCGCCCTCCTCTCTCGCTCTCGGTGACGAGATCTCGGCACGAGACCGGCGCGAGGACACCCCCGCGCGCCGCGCGTCTTCGACCGCGCGCGAGAGAGACTCGTCCGTCCCTCGCGATGTCGCCGCTGCCGAGATGCTTCTTCGACATGAGCGTCGGCGGCACCCCCGCGGGGAGGATCGTCTTCGAGCTCCGCGTCGACGTCGTGCCGAGGACGTGCGAGAATTTTCGCGCGCTGTGCACGGGCGAGAAGGGCGTCGGGCGATCGCGCAAGCCGCTGTCCTACAAAGGGAGCGCGTTCCATCGCGTCATCCCCGACTTCATGTGCGCGCGCGACTCTTCTCGTCGCGTCTGCCGCGCTCGTCTCGTCTCGTCTCGTCTCGTCTCGTCTCGTTTCCTCTCCTTTCCTCTCCGCTCGTCGCGCGCGCCGTCCGTCGTCGTCGTCGCCGCCGCCGCCGTCGTCGTCGATCCGTCCGTCCATCCCTCCTCGCCTCCCTCCTCGCCCGCGTCGCGCCGACCGCCGCCGACCGACGCGCCCCTCCTCCGTCCGATCGCTCGCGCGCGCGCAGGTGCCAAGCCGGGGATTTCACGAACGGCGACGGCACGGGCGGGGAGAGCATCTACGGCGCCAAGTTCGCGGACGAGAACTTCCGCCTGCGGCACGTCGGCCCGGGCGTGCTTTCCATGGCGAACGCGGGGCCCGACACGAACGGCTCGCAGGCGCGTCCCATCTCACGCTGGTCCCCGTGCGACCCCGTTCGTTCGCGCGGTGCACGCCGATCCTCGAGGACGGACTCACTCTCCCGGCGCGCGTTGCGTTTCTCTCCGCCCGCCGCCCCTCGCTTTCGACGCCCGACGCCTTTCGACGCCTTTCGACTCCACCCCCGACGCCTTTCGACCCCGCCCCTGACGCCTTTCGACCCCACCCCGACCCTCGACCCTCAGTTCTTCATCTGCACCGCGAAGACGGAGTGGCTCGACGGCAAGCACGTCGTGTTCGGGAGCGTCGTCGACGGCATGGACGTCGTGCGCTTCATCGAGCGCGTCGGGAGCAAGAGCGGGAAGACGGCGAAGAGAGTCGTCGTGACGGATTGCGGCGAGCTCGACCCGGAGCTCGACGACGGCGGCGCCGCCGGCGTGACCGCAGCGGCGAGGGAGGTGGCGGCGCGTCGCCGCGCGGAGGAGGATGAAGCCGCGCGGAGGACGATGCTCGTGGGGCAGGAGGATCCCGACGTCGCGTCCGCGCGGCGGTTGAAGCGGATGCGGGAGGCCGCCGCGGGGAAGTCGTGGAACGCCGCGGGCGGGGCGACGGAGCCGCCGCGCGTCGGCGGACTCAGGTGCGTTCTGTACACTGGTCCCCATACGACCGCGTTCGCGTGGTGAACGCCGTTTCTCAAGGACGTTTGCCGTCGTCTCTCTCCGCCCACCCCTCGGTTTCAATCCCGACACACCTCGACGCCTTTCAACGCCAACTGACGCCTTTGAACTCCACCCCGACGTTTGCTCGTATCGAACGACCCTCAGCGCCATCGCGGCGCGGCACTTTGACGACTCGGGGAAGAAGGAGACGGAGGAGCCTGCGCCGGCTCCGCCGCCGCCGGCGGCGGCGGCGCGCGATGACGCCGACGCGGAGGCGGCGAACGAGATCCCCGCGGAGACGTTCGACCCGACCGCGGGGATGGACCCGCGGCAGCGGAAGCTCTTCGAGCTCAGGCTGAAGCTGAACGAGACGAGAAAGGCGAATCAACAAGCCGTCATAGAGGAGAAGAAGAGGAACGAAGCGCCGGAGGAATACGAGAAGATGCAGAAGAAGAAGTCTTACGACGCCGCGGCGAAGCGCAGAGACGAGGAGAGAGTCAAGCAAGGCATCGACCCGAGCAAGAAGCACCTCATGATGACCGCGGAGGAAGCCGCTGTGTCGTACAAGAAGAAGCAAAAAAAGTACAAGACGGCGGTCGGCGGCGAGATTCACAGCAAGCACAACTTGTACCAGGCGTACGATAAGCGCACGAAGAACATTCAGGTGAACGAGCAGGAGTACGAGACGATGAAAAACACGGTCGGGGAGAGAGCGTTTTACGCGGACCCAGAAGTCGCGGCGTACGGCGGCGAAGGGAAGGTTGCCCCGGACGCGGTCGATCGCATGGTCGCCGAGCTCGAGGAGCAAAAGAGAAAGCGCCTCGACTTTTCGCGGCGCCGGAAGTACTACGAGGAGAGGGACGTTTCTCACATCAACGACCGGAACGCGCACTTCAACAAGAAGATCGAGCGCGCGTTCGGGGAGCACACGAAGGAGATCAAGGCGAACCTGGAGCGCGGGACCGCGCTGCCGGATCACTGAGACGAGACGAGACGAGACGAAATCCGGGTGAGGGTCGCGTCGCGGCGCGTTCGCTCGCTTTTCGCGTCTCTTCCCGCCTGTTTCGTTTTCTCGACTCGAACGCGAACGCGCACCGCCATTGGCCGAGCCTCTCTGGTCAAGGAACCCCAGCTAGAGGTGGTATTCCGGGAAAGGTTTCATCCGGCGCGCGGCGTCGGTCCCCCGACGCCGCGCGAGTGGCGCAGAAAAATGAACCGGTGTCTTTTTTTATTAAGGTTACCCGTTCGTCGCGGCCATCAGAACCGCGAGCGAGAGCCGTCCGTCTCGCGGCTTACCGTCGCTGCACATCTATCGCGCCCGCGCCCGCGCTCGGTCCGTCTGATCGCGCGTCCGCACGACCTCGACTGACGCGCCCCACGCGAACCCCCCCCCCCCCCACCCCCTCCGCAGACGCGGCGGCGAGAGCGACGGAAGGGTCGGGTCGGTCGCGAGAGAATGCCGGGAGAGAATCCCGGGAGAGAATCGCGTCGGTCGGCGCTCGTATGAAATTGAAGTTCGCGCGCCGCGCTCACCCCCTCGCCGCTCTTGTCTCCCTCTACTTCTTCGCCGTCTCCTTCGCCTTGGCCGCGGCTTTCCTCGCGCGCTCCTCGTCCTCGTGCTTCTGAAGCACCGGCATGAGCTCCTCCCAGAGCGAGTCCGCGGTCCACACCTCGTTGAAATCCTGCGACGTGGAGGGATGCGATTGGTCAGGAATCGAGCATGTTCGATGACGTGGAGGATCGAGAGGTCGAGACGCGCGCGCGGCGCGGACGGAGAGGAGACGGATTCGACGCGACGGACCTCCTCGCACTCCTCCCGGGTTAACAACCGCGACGTCAAGACGGAGAGGTCGATGCCGTCGTCTTCGAACGTCACGCCGCCGTCGACGCCGCGTCGTCCGAGGTCGTGCGCGCGCTTCGGCGCCGCGGCGTCGAGCTCCTCTTTCGTTTGGACCCTCCCGCGCGCGCGGTTCGGGTTATATCGCGGCGCGTAGGACAGCCGACCGTCTCTTCCCTCGTCCTCCGACGACGAGACCTCGTCGTCGTCGTACGTCGTCGCCGCCGCCGCGCGGCGCGCGCGCGCGTTCGCGTTCGCGCTCGCGTTCGCGTTCGCATCGTCGCCGCCGCCGCGCGCGTCCTCGCTCCATCTCGGTTTCGTCGGCGACGGCTCGTCGAAGTCCGCGGCGATCCCGCCCGCGCCGCTCGCGCGCCGCGCGGGATCGTCGCTCTCGTCGTGCACGGTCCACTGCGCCGTCCTCGGCTTCGGCGGCGGCGCCGGCGCGTCGTCGTCGTCGTCGTCCGACGCCGCCGCGCCCGCCGCGCCGCCCGCGCGCCTTCGCGGCGGCTCGCCCTCGCCCTCGCCCTCGCCCTCGCCCTCGCCCTCGTCCGCCCACCCGCGCGGGCCCGCGCGCTCCACCCTCTCCTCGTCCTCGTCCGTGGTGGAGTCGTCGAAGTCGTCCGCGATGGATCGATGCGGCGCGTCGCGTCGCGATCCGCCGCCGCCCGGCCGTCGCGCGAGCGCGTCGTCGGACATGGACGCGCCCGCCGACGGTTCCGCGCCGCGGGCGTCGACGAGCGAGGACGAGCGAGGACGTCGACGTTCGCGCGGGCGCTGCGCTCCGCCCGACACTGAAGTCGTCGGTGGAGTCGGTGGAGCGATACGCTGCGCTGCTCGTCAGCGATAAGTGGAGTCTCTGCTGGTCCTGTCGTCGTCGCCGCTCCGGCCGTCGCACACCTCGGCGCTCCGCGGCGATGACGAGACGCTCCCGCGGCGGCGGCGGCGGCGGCGGCGCGTCGTCGTCCGCGGCGGCGGCGGCGGCCTCCTCCTCCTCCGCTCTCCTCCGGCTCGCGCTCGACGCGAAGACGCGAGATCTGACGATCGACGGCGTCGCGCTCTTCCGCGGCGTCTCGCGCGCGCTCGTCGCGACGCCGTTCGCGCACGCGCGATCGGCGCCGTCGCCGGCGCACCCCGACGGCCGCGCCGTCGCGGCGATGACGCTGTCGTTCGAATCCCCGGACGGTACGCCGCGATCGAGGCACGCGCACGCGCTCGCGCGATCGTTCGCGGACGGCGTCAGGTTCGTCGCGTGCTCGCGCTGCAAGCTGTGGTGGATGTCCCCGGCGTGGGGCGCCGCCGCGCGCGACGTCCCGTCCGAGACGCAGTTCATGCTGTTCGAGCTCGAGGGCGGGAGGGGGTACGTCGCGCTCGTGCCGACGATCGCGGAGGGGGGCTTCCGAAGCACGCTCACGGGGCATCGCGCGGACGCCGCGATCGCGCGCGCGATCGAGAGAACGCGCGAAGACGCGGACGAAGACGCGGACGACGACGACGCCGCGCTCGACTCGACGCTCTCGCTCGTGACCGAGAGCAACTGCGCGGAGTGTGCGACCGCGAGCGTGAAGCACGCGCTCGCGATGACCGCGTGCGCGTGTCCGTTCCGCGCGGTCGAGGCGGCGATGGCGATGGCGAGGGACGTCATGTCGTCGTCGTTTCGCCTGAGACGCGAGAAGACGACGCCGCCGACGACGGACGTCTTCGGCTGGTGCACGTGGGACGCGTTCTATCACCAGGTCACGCCAGCGGGGATCGAGGAGGGCGTCGGGAGTCTTCGAGACGGCGGGACGCCGCCGCGGTTCGTGATCATCGACGACGGGTGGCAGTCGGTGCAGGCGCGTTCTATCTCACACTGGTTCCCATACGACCGCGTCGGCGTGGTGAACGCCGATCCTTAAGGACTTTTCCCGGCGCATCTCTCCGCCCAGGGTCCCTCGCTTTCAATCCCGACACACCTCGACGCCTTTCAACTCCAACTGACGCCTTTCAACTCCATCTCGCTGCAGCCGGACGACGCGTTCAAGAAGCAGACGGATCACATCAGCGGCGACGTCGACGTCGGCGCCGCCGGCGCGGAGTCGCGCGACCTCGCGGCGCTCGAGGCCATGGACCGCATGCCAAAGGGCGACGCGCGCGCGCACGCGCACGAGCTTCACGAGCACTCGCTCGCGCTCCGCGTGAAGACGCGGGAGGCGACGGCGGTCGTCGTCGACGCGGCGACGCATCCCATCGCCGCGGCGGCGCATCCGAAACGCGCCGCCAGAGGCGTCTTGTCCCTCCTCGGCGCGTCGCTCGCGAGCGGGTTCGAGACGGTGTACTGGCGAGGGATTCACAACGTGCCGTACGATTCGCACGCGTGGCGCGCGCTGCGGTTCGCGGCGCAGTGCGTCTTCTCGCCCGTGATCAGGTTCGCGTTCAGCGCCATCTCGTGCTTCAATCACCGCGTGTCCGGCATTGAGGTGCGTTCTATACACTGGTTCCCATACGACCCCGTCGCCGTGGTGAACGCCGATCCTTAAGGACTTTTCCCGTCGTCTCTCTCCGCCCACCCCTCGCTTTCAATCCCCGCCCGCGTTGCCTTTCAACTCCGCTTCTGACGCCTTTGAACTCCACCCCGACATCGCTTTGTATGGAACGACCCTGAGGCGAACATCAAGTTCCAGCTCGACGGCGGGCCGGTCGGTCTGGGCGAGGGCGTGACGCACGGGTCGCCGAGGAAAAAACGCAAGCGCGGCGACGGTTTCGGAAGAGTCGTCGAGCGCATTCGAAGGCTCGGCGTCGAGCACGTGTACTGCTGGCACGCGCTCTTCGGGTACTGGGGCGGATTGCACCCGAACGAACCCGGGACGGCGAGATTCAATCCGAAGATGCGATACCCGCGGCACACGCCCGGGGTGATGACCGTGGAGCCGTCGCAGGCGTGGGACCCGATCACCGTCGGCGGCGTCGGCGCGACGAGCCCAGAGGATTTGGAGGCGTTCTACAGAGAGCTCCACGCCTACCTCGCGTCGGCTGGCGTGGACGGCGTGAAGGTCGACGGGCAGGCGATCGTCGGCGGGCTCGGGCAAGGGCACGGCGGCGGGCCCGCGCTCGCGGGGAAACTGCACCGCGCGCTCGAGGCGAGCGTGCGGGAGAACTTCCCCAGAGGCGACTCGCTCATCAACTGCATGTGCCACAGCACGGAGAACATCTTCCACTTCGAGAGCAGCAACCTCGCGAGGGTCTCGGACGATTTCTACCCGCTCAACCACGCGTCGCACACGGTGCACATCGCCAACGTGGCGTATAACAGCGTCTTCATGGGCGAGGTCGTCATCCCGGACTGGGACATGTTCCACTCGCACGACGACGCGGGACGCCGCGGGACCGGCGCGCTCCACGCCGCCGCGCGCGCCGTCGGCGGGTGCCCCGTCTACGTGTCGGACAAGCCGGACAACCACGGCGCGTTCTACCTCACACTGGTCCCCGTACGACCGCGTTCGCGTGGTGAACGCCGTTCCTTGAGGACTTTTTTACGGCGCATCTCTCCGCCCAGGGTCCCTCGCTTTCAATCCCCGCCATCGACGCCTATCAACTCCGTTTCTGACGCCTTTGAACTCCACCCCGACGTTCGCTCGTATGGACCCTCGACCCTCAGACTTCGACGTGCTCCGATCGCTCGTGTTCCCCTCCGGCAGAGTGCTCCGCGCCAAGCTCCCGGGACGACCGACGCGCGACTGCCTCTTCGTGGACGTCACGCGCGACGAGCGCACCGCGCTCAAGGTGTGGAACGTGAACGCGAGAGGCGGCGTCCTCGCGTGTTTCAACATTCAGGGCGCGCACTGGAGCCGCGAGCGGGGCGTCTACGCGATCGACACGGACGCGCCGCGCGCGGTGACGGCGACGCTGCGAGTGACGGACGTCGTCGGGCTGCGCGAGGCGGCGCGAGCAGAGGCGACCGCCGCGGGGAGGAGCGACGTGGAGGAGCTGACGTACGCGTGCAAGGCGACGGGGGGCGCGAAGCACGGCGGGACGAAGATTTCGATCCTCCGCGAGGAAGACGCGTTCGCGCGCGAGTTGGAGGGGAAGGCGTGGGAGATTTACGCGATCGCGCCGGTGATGCGTCGCGGCGACGTGGAGTTCACGCCGATCGCGCTGGAGGGGATGTTGAACGGCGGCGGCGCCGTCGCGGCGACATCTCTGTCCGCGCCTAAAGGAGAAGAGGGAGACGGCGGCGGCGGCGGCGGCGGCGGCGGCGGCGCGATCGGCGTCGTCTCCGTCTACGGCTGCGGCGCGCTCGCGTGTTACGCCAACTTCGAGCCGACGCGCGTCTCGGGTGCGTTCTATACACTGGTCCCCATACGACCGCGTTCGCGTGGTGAACGCCGTTCCTTAAGGACTTTTCCACCCGGCGTATCTCTCCGCCCAGGGTTCCTCGCTTTCAATCCCCACCCTCGGCGCCTTTCAACTCCAACTGACGCCTTTCAACTCCACCCCGTCGTAGTGGACGGGATGAGGACGACGTTCTCGTACGCGCGCGACGACGGCGCGCTGGTGGTGAACATCGGGACCGCGGAGGGGACGCACGACGTGCGCGTGGAGTTTGGCGGCGCGCGACGCGTCTGACGCGATGCGAATCCGCGGCGGCGGGCGTCGAGGGACCCTCAGACGGGCGGAAGACCGGCGCGAAGCGTCGAGACTTAACGGATGGAACGCGAACGAGTTAATAACGAGTTGGGCGGATTGTCGCGTGTATTAATAAAAAGCAATCCGCCGAAAGCCTATGCCTACGCCCGCTACGCGAGTGCGCGGCGTCTGGTCGGACAACTTAAAAACGCGTCGTCGACGCAGACCCGCGCGGCCTGGTTAGTAAGGTTATTTTCTTCCTGTCTGTGAACGGTGGCGCCGCTTTTCTCCGTCTATGAGAATGGGCTGCTCGTCGCGTTCGCTGCTAGTGTTAGTTTTGGTCGCCATCTTGACCGGTCTCCCTGTTTCGTACTCCTCGCGATCGTTCGTATGAAACGAATCGCATCCGAGGAGGGGGCAACCGGCGGCGACGCGTCTCCTGTCTATCGATCCTACAGTCTGCCGTCTCCTGTCTATGAGGCAAAAAAATAATACATCGCGGGGGGGGCGTCGCGCCGCGCGTCTTGGCGCGTCGTCGCGCGCGCCCGTCCCCTCGGGAAAGAATATGATGTCGGTATGGTACACGTGTCGATCAGGTCCGGCGGTAATTCACGCCCGAGACCGCGCGTTTCGCGTCTGCGTCGACAACTTCAGACGCGCCGCCGGCGGCGGCCGCGAGTGCGACTTTTGATTGTGGTCCTCGCCCCCCTCCTCCGAGCTCGGAGACAACTCCCGCCGCGACGACATGTCCGCGCACAGCTCAAAGTTATCCTGGCTCTTGCCCGCGCCCGCGTTCGCTCCCGCGCCGCCGCGCCCGCGATGATGATTCGCGCCGCGCTCGCCGTCCGCGTGAAGCTGCGTGCTCTCGTTCGAACCCGACGTGTTGATGGTCTTGGCGTCCGTCGTCGCGCCGCCGCCGCCGCCTGCGTGGGTGAAGCGATCGGTCAGTCGAACATCTTACCGGTCAAACGTTGAAAGGGAAGCGCGGGTGAAGAGTGACGACGGGAAAAGTCCTTAAGGAACGGCGTGCACCACGCGAACGGGGTCGTATGGGAAGCAGTCTCACCTCCGCCGCCGCCGCGCGCCGCCGCCGTCGCGTCTCGTTCGTCCTCCTCCCCGGACCCAGACGCGCCGCCTCGCTCGTGGCTCGACGGCCGCGACCCGTCGTTCTCGGGCGAGCTCTCCTTGTTGAGGTCCCCTTCGGAGGCGGGATCGCTCGCGTCGTCGTTCGCAGCCGTAGACGCGGGGGGAAACGGCGGCTCGGCGCTCGCGCGCGCCGCCGCCGCCGCCTTCGGGTGCGCGCGCGTGCTCCGCGCCTTTCTCGCCGCCACCGCGTTGAAGTCAAACTCAGGTTTCTTCTCCGCGACCGGCTGCGGCTCCTCGAACTCGCGCGGCCGGTGCTGCTTCACGGCGAAGTCGGCGAGGCTTTGCAGATTCGCGTTCGCGTCGGCGTCGGCGTCGGCGTTCGGATTTTGATTCGGATTCGGATTTGGATTCGCCGCCGCCGCGCCGCCCGCCGCGGTCGCCACCGCCGCCGCCGCCTGCGCGTACCCGGGCATCATCATCATCATCATCTGCGACATCGCCGCGGCCTGCTGCGCCTGCGCGGTATTGCTCTGTTGTTGCGCCGCCGCCGCCGCCGCCCACTGCGAAAACGCGCTCTCCGCCGACCCAAGATTGGCGCTCGCGTTGGACGTCGCCGCCGCCATCATCGCCGCGAAAAAGTCGGTCGCCGCGCTCGGGTTCGCGCCCGCCGCCGCCGCGCCGCCTCCGCCGTGCGCCGCGGGACCCGGCTGAGGAGGTCCGGGCTGCGGCGCGGGCGGCGGCGGCGCGGCCGGCGCCGTCATCGCCGCCGGCATCCCCGTCAGCCCTTGGAACGCGTGCATGAACCGCCGCATCGCTGCCGCCTGCGCCGCGTCGTCCGTCGTCGCGTTCGCCGCGCGCGGCGTCGTCGCGTTCGTCGCGCCCTTCAGCGCGGCGTTCATCTGATACATCGCCGCGGTGGGGTTCGCCGGCAGCAGGTACGGGTTGAAGTACGACGCCGCGTTCGTCGCGCCGGCGGCAGGCCCGGCGGCGGGCGCGGCGGGAAATTGCGCGTAGCTCGACGCGAGCGCCGCTGCGTGCGCGGCGTCGAAGCCGCCGTGTCCGAACGCGCCGTGTCCGAACGCGGCGAACGAGTTGACGTCCGCGCCCGTGATGGTGCCGTCGCTGACCTCCGTGCGCGTGCCGCCGTCCGTGCTGACCGTGCGTCGATCGCCGCTCATCGTCGTCGCGTTCTTCGCGCGATCGCCGCCCTCGGGGGCTTTTCTGGGATAAGGATGCGCGGGCTTTCGCTTCGGTCTCGCCGGCGGGATGACTGAAGCGCTCACGCCGTGTTCGGACGCGCTTCCGGAAACGCCCGCGCTCGCGACCCCGCTCGCGTCGCCGCTCTTCGCAGCCTCTCGCATGAGCTTAGAGAAGAACTTCTGCGCGTGCGAGCGGATCTGCACCGCGGACTTGGTCCCGACGTGCTCCTCGATCTTCCTCCACGCGCGCCCGTGCAGCTTCAGCGCGGCTAAAAATCTTTCATGCTCCTCGTCCGTCCATCGCTCGCGCTGCTTCGTTATGGTGTACGGCTTCCGCGCCTTGGGGACGTGCCCGACGTTTGCGACGGCGTGCTGCGTCGCGTTGCTCGTCGCCGCGTTCGACAGCGCGCCGAGGCCGCGCGACGTCGCGTCGCCGCCCGGGGGCGTTTGTCCGCGAGCCCACGGCGCCGCGTTCGACGCGGGAAGAGCGCCCTGTTGCACAGGTGGCGTAGGTTTTATCCGCGCGACGCCGGGTCCGAATCCTCCGCTCGCGGCCGCGGCCTGGGCGTACCCGGGCCACGCGGGCGGGGGATTCGACATGACGCGCGAGTCTTCTCCCAAACGCGCGCGCCGATTCTCCGGTGACGCGCTCGAGCGAGGCGCGACCGGGCCGCGCGCGCGGCGACCAATGCGCGCCTTTCTCGGAAAACTCCGTCCGCAACCCGAGAAGATTCAATAAAGTACCGATCGAATTGGCTTTTTTCGAGCGTATGCGCATTTAGTCTGCGAGCGCGCTGTGTTAACTTTTCGGCCTACGGAAAGATCCTAAACGCGAAAGATAATTTTCAACGGGAGTGCTCGGTTCCCGCGGTCAAATCGCGTTCGCGGCGCGGTTTGAATTCACCGAGGCGCGCGGGGTGAATTACAGCCGCGGAAATGCCTCATCCGCAGATTTCAAAAGACCTCAAAAGCGCTCAGCTTGCCGCGTTGGAAAGATCAACAGCGCATACTGTAAATATCCGCGCAGCATAACTATCCTGCGCCGACACTACGAAAAACCAAACGGAGCCGTCCGCGTCCGACCGTCCATCCCCGCGCGCGCGCGCGCGCCGCGTCCCGCGATGCCGCCGGGCGGCGCGGACTACCTCGGCCCGATCAGCGCGACGCCGATGAAGATGGTGACCGAGATGCTCGCGTTCGCGGGGCCGCTCTCGTCGAGCGACGTCGTGTACGACCTGGGATGCAACGACGGACGCGTGCTCGTGGAGGCCGCGCGAGCGCACGGATGCGCGGGCGTCGGCGTGGAGATCGACGCGAGGGCGGTCGCGAAGGCGAGACAGATGGTGCGCGCGACGACGACGACGACGACGACGACGACGACGACGCCGACGCCGACTCCGACCCGACCCGACCCGTCCCGTCCCGACCCGTCCCGTCCGTCGCGGAGAGACGACGACGAGACGACGGCGCGGAGTGATGAGATGAGATGTAGGCACCCGCGGAAACGAACAGAACGTCCGCGCGCGAAGTGCCGACGCTGACTGACGCGCCCGCCTCCTTCCTCCCTCCCTCCCTCTCGACGCGTCAGGCGAAAGACGCCGGCGTGGACGCGCTCGTGAAGATCGTCAGAGGCAACGCGGTGAAGGCGGCGATTCGCGACGCGACCGTCGTGTTCGTGTACCTCCTGCCCGCGGGGAACAGAAAGATCGCGCGAAAGCTCATGCGCGAGCTCGCGCCCGGTGCGACGACCGAAACCTACCCTACCCTACCCTACCCCTCGAAGAACCCTAGGGCTACATACAGTACCCCTCTGAACGACCCTCTGTTCCTCGAACCCTCGAACAAATCTGAACAAACCCAGGCGCGATCGTGATGACGTACGTGTTCAAGCTCCCCGAGGCGTGGTGGGGACCGTGGCTGGTCGCGAGCGAGGCGGCGGCGTCGACGAGAGCGCGCGCCGCCGGCGGCGTCGACGCGTCCGCGTACAACAAGCTGTTCAAGTACGTCGTCCCGGAGACGAAACCGGCGTGGTGCCGCGAGGGCGAGGAAGAGGGCGAGGAGGGGGAGGAGGAGGCGCGGCGGGGGTGGGCGGGGAGGATTCGGACTCGGATTAAGATTCTCGTCGCGAGACTGGTCCCCATACGACCGCGTTCGCGTGGTGAACGCCGTTTCTTAAGGACTTTCTTTTCCCGCGCGGCGGCGGCGGGCGTCGTCGCCGCCGCCGCCGTCGCGGCGATTCGGCCAGCCCGGCGATAGCCGCCGCGCGCGATGAACGACGCGATGAACGACGCGATGAACGACGACGCGCGTCGGTCGACGTGGTGATGTTAAAAGAAAGAAATCCTCAAACGCCGCGCCGCGCCCGCCGCCGCTCGTCGAGCGACTAGTCGTTCACGCGCGACGCGACGCCTCGAGGGAAGGCTCTGCTCGCTCACAGCGCCTTGGCGAACTCGACGCCCTTGTTGATCGAGTCGTTCAGCTCGGCCATCATCCCGTCCAGGCCAGCCTTCTCGTACGGCGTCAGCTCGCCGAGGCCGTGGATCGTCTCCACGCCCTCCTTGCCGAGCGTCACCTTGGACGCGAAGAACCTCGCGTCCGTGACGTTCGACTCGACGTACGTGCACTCCACGACGCCGGCTTCGCCGTTCTTCGCGCGGAGGCACGAGTCCGCGAACACCGCGCCCGCGTACGCCATGGACAGCGTCGCGCTGCCCTTGCCCGCCTTGGCGGCGACGACTTCGGTGCCGCCGTCCTGCGTGCGCTTCGTCAGCGCCTCGATCGTCGCGGCGTCCATCTCCGCCTTGGGCGTCGCCTGCGCTCAGAGAAGCGGCGGCGGGATCGGGGCGGAAGGAGTTGAAAGGCGTCAGTGGTGGAGTTGAAAGGCGTCGTAGGGTCGGGCGTTGAAACCACCGAGGGTTGGTGGGCGGAGAGACACGAAACGAACGCCGGGAGAGAAAGTCCGTCCTTAAGGAATGAAGTTCACAACGCGAACGCGGTCGTACGGGGACCAGTCTGGTGTGAGACAGAAAAAACAACAAAAACGCGCCTGCGAGAGCAGCGGCAGGATCGTGATCCCCGCGTGGCCGCCGACGACGGGGACGTCCACCTTGGCCGTCTCGAGGCCGTTCTTCTCCGCGTAAAACGTCTTCGCGCGCACGACATCGAGGGTCGTCACGCCGAAGAGCTTCTTCGGGTCGTACGCGCCTCTCTTCTTGAGCACCTCCGCGGCGATCGGCACGGTGGAGTTGACCGGGTTGGAGATCATGTTGATCATCGCGTTCGGGCAGTGCGTCGCGCACGCCTCGGTGAGTCCCGCGACGATGCCCGCGTTGATCTTGAAGAGGTCCTCGCGCGTCATGCCGGGCTTGCGCGGGACGCCCGCGGGGATGATGACGAGGTCCGCGTCCTTGAGAGCCGCGCCGAGCTCGGCGTCGCCGGCGTAGCCCTTGACCTGCGCGGCGGTGTTGATGTGCGAGACGTCCGCGGCGACGCCCGGCGTGCCCGCGATGTCGTACAGAGAGAGCTCCGTCACGAGCGGGTTCTGTCGTTCGTTCATCGTTCATGTCGCACGTCGTTCGTGTGCGGTGGGCGGGATGAGAGAGGGCGTCAGGAGGAGGTTGGGGAGGGCGCGGGCGTGGAGTGGCGGGAGGGGCCCACGGAGGAAGACGCGCGGCGGCGAAAGTCCTCAAGGAACGGCGTTCACAACGCGAACGGGCTCGTATGGGAACCAGTCTGGATCGATCGACCGATCGATCGATCGGGGTTTTATCGACGCGATCGGCGCACGTACCATCTTCATGAGGAGACCGCACGGCTGGCCGATCCCGCCGGCGGCGCCGAGGACGGCGACCTTGTACCCGCGCGTCTGGGTCATCGCGCTGGAGACGGTGCGGGACGCGCGCGCGGCGCGGAGGAGGGCGGCCATGGTGAGGAGGACGTGCGGTGCGGGTGGGGTCGACGCTTCGTCGGCGCGGATGGAAAAGGACCCCCGGCGGCCGGTGCGTGCGACCCTTCACGTTTTCGACGCGCGAGAGCGAGATCGAAATCTCGCGTCGCGTTGACCGCTCGCGATCGCGCGGTCGGCGACCACGAACGTTTTTCACCCGCCGCCCGGTTTCAAGATTCGATCGCGCCCCCTTTCAACCGACCGATGAGCGCACCGCGGCGAGGCGGCGTCGGCAGAGTCGCGTTCTCTCCAAAGCGCAAGCGCCCCGCCTGGAAAGCTCCTCGGAGCCTCGGACAACGATCGACGACGTCTGATTCTGACTCGTCGACGCGCGTCGTCGTCGTCGTCGTCGTCGTCCGTCGTCGCGGCGGGTCGACGTCGATCCGATGCCGCCGCCGCCGCGCGGGAACCCGCGGACGAAGCTCCTCACCGCGGGCGCGCTCTTCGCGTTCGCCGCGTGCACGTTCTCGCTTCCCGCGATCCTCGCGACGAACGCGAGCGCGTCGCTCTACGCGAGCGACGATCCCATCTCGTCCGCGGCGACGCGACGCGGCGCGTTCATGAACGCGGGGTCGAAAGACGTCGGGTCCACGACGATCGCGGGGGGGGAGATTCACGACGCGAGCACGGACACGTTCTCGAGGACGACGGTCAACGCGGGGAACAAGGGGAAGAGGACGCGATAGGAGATAGCATCTGTAGGAGGCGCGCGGAGGAGGACGTAACCTTACTGTATCATAGCAGCGGCGACGCGTCGCATCTCATCGATCGTTAGCAGCCTACTCTACACCATAGTAGGTAGCATCACCGGAGGAACCGCGTCTCCGTGTCGAGCGACGCGGTCGTGTCCGGACGGTTCCCGTCGTACGACTGCTGGTGCCCGACGTAGCTCCCCATCCCGCCCTGCCACTCCCCTTCCTCGTCGTCGAACTCGCCGCGCTGAGGAAGGAACGTTTCGTCAGTCGCGATTGAAATGAAAACGAGAGACGGGCGGAGAGAAACGCGACGCGCGCGAAAAGTAAAGTCCTCGAGGAACGCCGTGCACCGCGCGAACGGGGGGGCGATCGCGTGGGGCCCGCCAGGGCAGTGTGAAAATAGAACGCGCCTGATCCTCCAGCATCGGCGGCGCCTCCTGGAGCACCGGCGTCGCGCCCCTCGCGACGCGCAAAAAGTTTTGCAGCAGGTTATCGAGCTGATCCGCGTCCGCGGGGGGACGGTCGCCGTCGCCGCCCGCGTCGCCCAACGCGCGCAGACGCGCCTCGTTCTTCGCGTAGATCTTCGTGAGGCCGTCCGACGCCGTCGACGCGGCGGTGTCCGGGGGGCCGTCGCTCGGGTATCGACGCCCGGGCTCCGGACCGTCCGGCGGCAAACCGCTCGCGTCCGCGTCGGGACCCAGGCCCATGACGTCGCCGCCGCCGAACTCGTCGATGTCGTCGAGCGTGTTATGTCTGGGGCCCGCCTGCTTCTTCGGCGGCGCGACGCCGCCGACGCCGTCGCCGAGGAACGACGCCGCGCTGAGCGTCTGCCCGGGAAAGACGAACGTGCTCTCTCCCACCATGCTCTCGTTCGCGTCGAAGGTTTGAGACGCGCGAACGTCGGCGGAATAATCCTTCCCCGCGTCTTTGAACGGATCGATCCTCGAGTCGATGTCGCGCATGAACGCGCCGTAGTCCTCTCGCGCGTCGTCGATGACGACGCGTCTTCGGTCCTGGTCGCTCCCGGGCACCGGCGGCAGCTGCGAGAGAAACACGTTGTCCGCGATGTTTTCCTTCATCTCCAAAATTTCCATCCGCGCCTCCAAGCCGTTCTTCTCCGCCATCTCCGCTCGCTCCTGCAGCATCCGCATGTTCTCGTTCTGCGCTTGCATCGCGCGCATGAGCTCCGTGTGTTCCTGTTGCAGCTCCATGCGCAGCGCGCTGAGCTCGCGCGCGCCCGCGGGGGTGGGGCCGCGAGGGGGCAGGTACCCGGGTGGCGGCGGGCCGTCCGCCGGCGCCGCGTTCGCGTTGGCGCCGCCGCGGGGGCCGTACGGGGGTCCGTCGTCTTCGTCGTCCGGGTCTCTGCGCGGCGCGCGGCGCGCGGGCTTGTTCGCGCGGTCCTGCTCCTGACGCTTCGCGAGATCGAACGCCTCCTCCTCCGCGCGCGCCCGCTCCTCCGCCTTGAGGCGTTCGTTCTCCTGTTCCTTCTCGAACGCCGCGCGAAGTCGCTCTTGCTCAGCCTTGAGTCGCCGCTCCTCCTTCAGATCTTCCTCCGCCTCGCGCTGCTTCTCCGCCTCCTTCTTCCGTCGCTTCTCCTCGATCTGCTGCTCGAGCGCGTGCGCGAGCTCGTCCCTCTGGCGGTGTTTCGCCGCGAGCTCCCTCGGGTCCACGTCCCCGATCTGGCCGTCCCTGAACCGGCCTTGGATCATCAGGTTCCCGACGTGATCCGCCGCGGGTCCCCCCGGGGACCTCGGGTCGTAGTGGTAATCCGGCGGCGGCATCCCGGGGTTCAGCTGCCGCTCGTTGTAGTCATCTCGCAGGTCTTTCAAGTTCGTCACGACGTTCCCGCCCTGGTCGCGCATCGGCGCGCCGCCGCCGCCTTTCCCCCACGGATCGTACCGCGCGATCTCTCGACGCTCTCGAGCGTCCCTCTCGAAGCGTTCGCGCTTCTCCCTCTCTTTCGCCTCCGCTTTCAACCGGACTTGCTCGTCCAGCTCGCGCTGGTACGCCGCCTTCTTCTGCCGCGCGGCGCTCTGCTGCTGCTGTTGGAACGACCCGGGCTGCCCGCCGGGGAAGCCGCCGCCGCCGCCGCCGCCAAGATTATCCGTGAACGACGGCCGCTGCGTCTGCCGTCCTCCTCCTCCTCCTCCTCCTCCTCCCCCCTGGTCGTACCCCTGCATCGGGTGCGGCGTCTGCTCGACGTACTGCGGCGGCGGCTGCGGATGCCCGCTCTGCCGGTCGTACATCGGGATCCCGTCCGGGTCCACGGATCGATCGACGCCGTCCTGGAACCCGTCGCGCATGTCCCTGAGGGCCATTCCATACAAAGCGATGTCGGGGTGGAGTTCATAGGCGTCAGCTAGAGTTGAAAGGCGTCGATGGCGGGGATTGAAAGCGAGGGGTGGGCGGAGAGAGACGCCGGGCAAAGTCCTTAAGGATCGGCGTTCACCACGCCGACGCGGTCGTATGGGGACCAGTGTATAGAACGCACCTGATGACGTTGGCCATGCCGTGCGCGCGCGCGTCGATCCCGCGCCGCTCCGCGAGCTCGCGTCGCTTCCGGTCCTCCTTCTCCGCGATCTGCGCGCTGAGCTCCGCGGCGTACTCGCGCTTCTGCTGCTGCTTCTTCTCCATCCGCCGCTTGTCCGCGCTGTTGAACATCTGCTTCACGCCGCCGTGCCCGAACGGCCGAGGGTTGACTTCCTCCTCGAAGACGAGCCCGGGGCTGGCCTCGTCGCTCGGACGACGATGCTGCCCGCGGCCGTGCGCGCCGCCCTGCTGCGGCGGGTACCTCGGCGGGAGCCCGCCGCCGTTCGCCGCGGGGCGGTCCGCGAACGCGTCCATCGCGTTGTTCGGCGGTCCCTGCGCGCCGGGGGGTCCGCCGTTCGCGCTCAGATGCTGGTTGTATTCCGCCTGTCGCTCGCGCGCGAGGCGCTCTCTGTGCTCTCCGCGCTCGTCCACCTCGGGTCCCCAGTACGCGCCGCCGCCGCCGGAGGGGTCGTGCGGCGGCGGGTAGTTCGGGTTCGCCATGACGACGGAGGGGCGCGGCGGCGGCGGCGGCGTCGGTATCGCTCGCGCGCGAAGACGACGACGACGACGACGACGACGACGACGACGACGACTCGGAGGGCGGTCGGATGGATCAATCCACGGTCAGCCGCGGCCTCGCGAGATGCGATTCGATTCGACCCGGCGAAGGACAGCCTCGCGCGCGGGTCTTCTCGACGCGCGGGTCTTCTCGACGCGAGAGGTCGGCGCGGTGAGGCGCGTGCGGACGCTCGCGGTGTGCGAACGCGCGTCGGAGCGTCGAGGGCGCTCGTCGTTGTGCCCGGCGCGGCGGGGCGGGCGGATTTATTTTGAAAACAAAGAAAGTCGTTGCCGAACAGCGAAGAGAGCACCAGCATGTTTCGATACCAGATGTTTGCCTCTCTCGGCCGTTACTCCCTCCCTCCGTGGAGACGGCGCGCCCGCCGGGCGCACAGGCGCGAGCGCCGCGGCGACGCGATGCCGCCGCGCCGTCGCGAGCCGCTCGCGTGAGCACCCACGGCCATCGATGCATCGCGTCGCGCGGAGCGGAGCGGAGGACGCCGACGGAGGGATCGCGGGACAGACGGCGACGCGCGACGACTTCGCGGGGGCGTCGTCGCGCGAGATTCGACGCCTCGCGCCCTCGCCGTCGTCGTCGGATGGATCGGACGACGACGACGACGACGACGACGACGCGTCCCGCGCCTCGTCGTCGTCGTCCGACGAGCCGCTGACGTGCTGGTACCTGCGCCCGCGCGGGACGCTGCGGCGCGGCGTCGGCGCGATGTGCCTCGACGACGACGACGCGACGACGACTTCGACGACGACGACTTCGACGACGACGACGACGTTCACCCCGCTTCGCGCGCGCGACGACGACGACATCTCGCGCCGGTGCGACGCGCACGGCGTCGTCGCGACGCGGTGGACGTCGGACGCTCGCGACCTCGCGACGGCGGCGCGCGCCCGCGCGTGCGTCATCCCGCGCGCGGAGGAGGAGGAGGAGGAGGAGGAGGAGAAGGATCGTTCGTCGGCGCCGCCGCGGCTCGCCGAGCTCGCGTCCGCGGCGCTCGCTCGAACCCTCGCGACGACGCCGCGTCTCCCGCCATCGCTCCCGGTGCATATCCTCAACGACGTCGTCGAGCGCGCGGGCCTGCGCGCGCTCGACCACCGCGTCCTGGCGATGGTGCTCGGGCACGGGCTCACGCGTCTGCGGTTCAGGCGCGTTCGTATTCGCACTGGTTCCCATACGATCCCGTTCGCGTTGTGGACGCCGTTCCTTAAGGACTTAACCCGGCGCCCTCTCCGTCGCTCTCGTCCAATGAAACGTACACGTCATCAAATAAGTAACCAATCACATCACTTCCCGCCGCGTCGCCCGCCAATCACATCACTTCCCTCAGAGACGTCCCCGCGTTGTTCCGCGCGCGCGTCCCCCGGACGTGGATGCACTGGCGCGAGGGCCTCAGCGATATCAACCACGGGATCGCGGAGCCGAGAGAGGACCTGCGCACGCCCGGGCCGGCGTGCATGTTCGACGTGCACGACGGCGACGTGGTGCCGAACGACCGCGGGTGGACGCGGCTGTGGCGGATGACGGACTGTCTCGTCGACGTCGCGTTCGAGACGGACCCAGGCGCGTCCCATCTCGCACTGGTCCCCATACGACCTGAACTTCATTCCTTAAGGACGGACTTTCGTCGGCGCCTTCTCCGTCGCTCTCTGTCGTCCAATGAAACGTCCACGTCATCAAATAACTAACCAATCACATCACTTCCCGCCGCGTCGCCCGCCAATCACATCACTTCCCGTCAGACGCGGAGGACCCGGAGCCGTCGGACACCGGGGACATGGTGCGAGGGCTCTTGCGCGAGATCGCGGGGGTGACGACGCTGCGGACGATGTCGATCGCGTACTTCGACACGGTGACGGACGACGTCATCGAAGCGCTGTGGCGACGCGACGACGACGACGACGACGACGACGACGACGGCGGCGGCGGCGAGGTTGTCGAAAAAACCAAAAAACGCGCCGCCGCGCCGCCGCCGCCGCGTTACGCGCGGCGCCGTCCACTCTCGCTCGCGCGTCCACTCTCGCGCGCGCTCTCGCTCTCGTCGCCGCCGCCCGCGCTGATCACGCGTCTGGAGCTGAGCCACCTCCCGCGTGTCACGGACGCGGGCGTGCGAGCCCTCGTGGATAACCTGCCCCGGCTGACGAAGCTCCGTTTGGAGGTGCGTTCTATACACTGGTCCCCATACGACCCCGTTCGCGTGATGAACGCCGATCCTTAAGGACTTTTCCCGGCGTCTCTCTCCGCCCATCCCTCGCTTTCAATCCCCGCCCTCGACGCCTTTCAACTCCACCTGACGCCTTTCAACTCCACCCCGACGTCGCTTTGTATGGAACGACCTGGAGTTCCTCGCCGTGACGGACGCGTGCGTAAAGGACTGGAAGACGTTTCGAAACCTCGAGTGGCTGGAGATCACGTCGTGCCCGTACGTGAAGTTCACGCACCCGACGGTGAACTTTCTGAAGCCGCCGCCGAAGCTGCGGACGCTGCGTCTCAGCCCGCGGTCGAACGGCGGCGGCGGAGGAAACCAAAAAGAAAACGAGACGACGATCAGCGCGCGCGACTTTTTGCAGCTCAGCGAAGCGCGCGCGTCGCCCATACGCACCTTGTGCTTGGGGTGCCGGTTCGGGTACACGACGACGAAGACGAACCGTCGCGGCGTGGACGGCGACCCGGGCGGGTACCGCAAGCACGCGGTGCTGGACTTGCGAGAGGTGAAGCTCGAGTTTCTGACGCGACTGGAGCTGTACCGGTGCGAGCAGGTCGTGTGGCCGAAGGCGTTCACGCGGTTGAATAAACGCCTGAAAACGCTCGTGGTGAACACGCATACGGACGGTCTCGTCCTGCGCCTGCGCGGGATGACGACGCTGCGGGAGCTGTGGATATGCGACGTCCGGGGGATGACCGCGGGCGAGTTCGTCGCGTTGGGCGATTTGAAGGGGTTAGAAAAGTTGACGTGCGGGGGGGTGGTAACGGCCGAGCTGCGAGCGTTATGCGACGTCGTCCGCGCGGCGTGCGGGCCGACGCTGACGACCGCGCACTTTCATCGGTGCGTGGAGTATCCCACGGACGAGTCCGTGTTCGATTAGGTTGTAGCGGCCGGCGGCGGCGGCGCCGCGGCTGATACGAGTACGTGTAGAAAAAAAACACAACAGAGAAAAGAACAGAACAGAACGATATTTACGACTCGCCGTCCAGCGACACCGCACGATGCGCTACCCGACGCTGAGCGCGGACGTCCGCGCGTTCGACGCCGCCGCGAGCCCGTCCTCGGACGAGTCCGCGCGCCGCGCCGCCGCGCTCGACGTCGTGCGCGACGCGGTGCGCGCAGAGTGGGGCCCCGACGCGATCGTGAACGTCTTCGGGAGCGTCGCGTGCGGCACGACGCTGCCGTCGTCGGACGTCGACTGCGCCGTCACCGGCGCGGAGTGGGGCGGCGACGACGACGCCGGCGACGCCGCCGCCGGCGGCGGCGTCGGCGTCGCCGCGGCGCAGGACGCGAGGAACAGGGCGATGAAGCCCGCGATGATTCGCGCGGCGCGGCGGCTCGCGGACCGACTCCGCGCGATGTCGCGATCTGGGCGCCCCGTCTCGAGCGTGCTCGCCATCACGAGAGCGCGCGTGCCCGTCGTCCGGACGACGATACGATCCGTCGGCGTGGACGTCGTGTTCGGGCAGACGAACGGCGTCGCCGCGGCGGCGTGGACCAAGGCGCGCGCCGAGGCGCACGCGGAGCTCGCGCCGTTGGCGAGGGTATCGAAGGCGTTCTTGCGAGGGAGAGGGATGGGCGACGTCGGCGACGGCGGGGTGGGCTCGCACGCGGTGACCGTGATGCTCGCGGCGTACTTGGACGACGCGAAGAGGATGAAGACGAAGGCGACGAGCGGCGGCGGCGGCGGCGGCGGCGGCGGCGAGGAACGAGCCGACGAGGAGGAGGAGGAAGGAGAGGAGGACGGAGAGATCGTCGCGCGCGTCGACGGCGACGGCGACGGCGACGACTCGGACGTCGTCGTCGACGTCGACGTCGGCGGCCTCCTCGTCGGGTTCATGCGCGCGTGCGGCGCCGTGGACGTACGCTCGGACGTGTTCACGACGTCGCCGCCCGGCCCCGGCCCCGAACCCGTGGGATGGCGCGAGAAGCCGACGGCGTGGATGACCAGAAGCGAGCTGTCCGCCGCGCGCGCCGATCCGTCGGACGCGTCGTCGGACGCCGCCGCCGCCGCCGCCGCCGTCGCGGAGCCGCCGCGTCTGGGCGTGCGCGACCCGCTCGCGCCGGAGCGGAACCTCGCGGCGGGGTCGCACAAGGCTGAGGCCGCGCTGAGGGCGCTCGGGGAGGCGGGGGAGGCGTTGGCGCGGATGGGGCCCGCGCGCGCGCGTTTGGACGCGGTCGTGGACGTGGAAGCCGCGTTGCGAGAGCGGCCCGGAGGCGGCGACCATGGTAGGAAACGGCCAGCGGGCGGCGGTTTCGACGGCGGGGGAGGGCTCGCAAAGTCGCACAGAACGTCGTTCCCCGCGCCGGACATATGATGATAGCGTAGACTACTAGCTAGAACACGTCTAGCGAGCGGCGCGGAGGTACACGTAGACTGTCTCGTGACGCCTTCGACGCGGTCGACGTACTGTAGGAACAGGTAAAACATCCATTAATAGGTTCGCTTCTAATCCCTCGCGCGTCGCTCTCATCACTCCCCCCCGTTCGACGCCTTCTCCCCGCCCCCGCCCCCGTCGCCGCTCGGCACCTTAGTCGGCACCCCCAGCTCCCCGATGTGCGTGATCACCTCGTCCGCCAACCCGAACGTCACCGCCTCCGCCGCGGTCATGTACGTGTCGCGTTCCAACACGCCGATCACCTCCCCCGCGCTCCGACCGCTGTGCTTCGCTATGATATCCCTCAGCGTCGTCCGCGTGTGCTCAGCCTTGGTCGCTTTGATCAATATATCCGTGGTCTGCCCGCTTATGACGTGGTGCGGCTGGTGGACCATCACCCTGAGGGTCGTTCCATACGATGCGAACGTCGGGGTGGAGTTGAAAGGCGTCGGATGGAGTTGAAAGGCGCCGAGGGCGGGGATTGAAACCGAGGGGTGTTGGGCGGAGAGATGCGCCGGCAAAAGTCCTTAAGGATCGGCGTTCACAACGCGAACGCGGTCGTATGGGGACCAGTGTATAGAACGTGCCTGGCGTTCGGTAACACGTATCGATGGCCCTTCTCCCCCGCGCACAGGAGCACCGCGGCCATGCTCTCGGCGTGGCCGATGCACACCGTGTACACCGGCGGGCGGACGTGCTGGCGTGGGGGGTAGGGTTAGGGTTAGGGTTAGGGTTTGGATGGCGTAGGGCGCGGGAGCGCGTCGCGAAGAGAGAGGGAGAGCACGCGACGACCCGAGGCCTTCGACGGAGGGCGAAAACTAACAACGCGGGCGTCGCGCACAGCTGTGCGTCCACCCATCGCACCTGCATCACGTCGTAGATGGCGAGCCCGGAGGTCACCACGCCGCCGCCGCTGTTGACGTACAACACGATCGGCGTCTCCGGATCCACCGCGTCTAAGAACAACATCTTTCCCACGAGCGAGTGCGCGGACTTGTCGTCCACGCGGCCGTTGAGGAAGATGCGCCGCTGGCCCATCAGTTGAGTGAAGAAGAGGTCGGCGTCCGATTTCGCCACCGGCGGCGGCGGCGGCTTGGACGGCTCCGCCTCCTTCGTCTTCTCTCCCTGCCCGTCGTCCGTCTTCTTCTCTTTGACGATGTCGTTCGCGGGCGGCGTCGCGGGCGTCGCGGGCGTCGCGGGCGTCGCGGGCGCGGGCGCGGGCGGCGGGGAGGGCGCGGGTTTCTTTTCAACCTTCTTCGGCATCGCGTCGGCGGCAACCTTCGCCGCGCGCGTCGGCTTCGGCGACGCGTCCGCGAGCGCGGGCTCCGGTCCGAACCGTCGCGTCGCCTCGTACGCGCACGCGGCCAGGCCCGCGCCGACGGCGACGGACTGCCACGACATCCCCGCGGGCGGCTCCGGCGGGGACGAGGAGGAGGAGGAGGAGGAGGAGGAGGACATCGCGCGTCGGCGCGACGGAGGAGGCGGACGATGCCGCCATCGACACGGCACCCGATGGGCGGCGGCGGCACCGCGCGCGTTCGACGCGCTCGCGGCGGCGTGCAGCGCGCGTCGAGCGGCGTGGCGGAGCGACATCGCGAGGGCGGCCGCGACGGCGACGGCGAAGCGGAGAGGGGCGCGCGCGTCGGTGTGCCGGTCCCGCCGCGCGTCGAGTCGATTTCAGCGTCCGAGAAGTCGAGGCGAGTCGACAGCGCAGCGACACGTCAAATTCATTCATGCGACGAACGCGTCAGCCGTTAGACACGACGACGTGGTACCGCGAGCGCGGCTCCGGGGCGTGTATTTGCTTGGCGTGCGGCGTCCTCGTGTCTACTTGGTGCGGGCGGAAGAAGCACGTCGCGTCCGTCGCGCATCGTCGCAAACGGCGAGAGACCGAGGCCGTCGACGCGAGCCCCAACATTCCGTCGTCCGCCATGGCTCCGGCGCGCGAGGAGCAGCGGAAGCTGCGCGCGAACGGCGGCGGCGAGTTCTACCCCGCGCCGCGGTCGCGCGTGAAGAAACTCTTCGGCGATCGATGGTTCGAGGGCGTCGTCGACGAGGTCGCCCCGGGCGACCGCTTCCCGATCACGGTGCGCTTCGACGACGGAGACGTGGAATCGTTCACGCTCGAGCAGTTTCACGCGAGCACGACGCCGGCGACGGCGGCGAGGACGGCGACGGCGACGACGAGGACGAGGACGCCGGCGCCCGCCGCGTCGTCCCGCGCGTACCTCCGCGGGCTCGGGAACGAGCACGCGTCCGAGTCCCTCCCCGGAGCGCTCCCGGAGGGAAGGAACAACCCGGCGCGATGTCCGTACGGTCTCTACGCGGAACAAATCTCGGGCACCGCGTTCACGGCGCCGAGGAGCGAAGGGAAGAACCTGCGGACGTGGATGTACCGGAAGAAGCCGTCCGTGACGCACGAGCCGTTCAAATCTATCGAACACAATGCTGAACTTGGCTCTAAGCTCGGCGAGAGGGTGATCGCGGACTTCGCCCCGTCTAGCCGCGACATCGAGGCGACCCCGAATCAGTTGCGGTGGTTTCCGAGGAAATATCCGGAGGTTTCTAAGATGACGGGAAACCGTATAAGATCGACTTTCATCGGAGGATTAGAGACCGTGTGCGGCGCGGGGTCTGCCGCTACGAAGGACGGGTACGCGATTCACACGTACGCGTGCGGCGTGGACATGGTGAACGATTGCTTCGCCAACGCGGACGGCGACATGCTCATCGTTCCGGAAAAAGGCACGCTCGACGTTCAGACCGAGCTCGGGCGTCTGGAAGTCCCGCCGGGGTTCGTGTGCGTCGTACCGCGAGGGATTCGGTTCAGAGTGACGCTGCCGGAGATACCGCAAGACGGAGAAGAAAACGAACCAGACGCGGACTTCGCGCGCGGATACGTCCTGGAAGTTTTCTCCGGCCACTTCGAACTCCCGGACCTGGGCCTCATCGGCGCCAACGGCCTCGCGTCCGCGCGAGATTTCGAGATGCCGACGGCGTACTGCGACGACGACGATGCGATGCACAGAGCGCGCGATGCGGGGGAGTGGGCGATCGTCCACAAGTTCCTCGGTGAATTCTTCGAGGCGAAACAGTCGTTCTCGCCGTTCAACGTCGTCGCATGGCACGGCAACTACGTCCCTTTTCGGTACGACCTCTCCAAGTTCTGTCCGATGAACTCCGTGTCGTTCGACCACGCGGACCCGTCGATATTCACCGTGTTGACCGTGCGAGGCGGGTCCGCGTCGCGACCGGGCGCCGCGTGCGCGGACTTCGTCGTGTTCCCGCCGCGCGTTAACCCGACGGCGGACACCTTCCGGCCGCCGTACTACCACCGCAACTCCCAGACCGAATACATGGGACTCATCAGAGGGCAGTACGAAGCGAAAGTCGACGGCGGGTTCCTCCCGGGCGGCGGGATGCTACACAGCTGCATGACGCCGCACGGGCCGGACGCGGAGACGTTCGCGCGCGCGTCGTCCCCGCGCGCGTGCGACGAGGCGGGGAGGATAGGGGACGACGCGTTGGCGTTTATGTTCGAGTGCGATTACGCGCCTCGGGTGTCGAAGCGCGCGATGCGCGGGGAGACGCTGGATGAGAACTACTACAAGGTGTGGAGCTCGCTGAGGAGTTACTTCGACGCGAACGATAGGGACGGGACGATTGCGCGGGAGGGAGGGGGCAGAGGTGGCGGGGGGGGCAGAGGCGGCGGGGGGGGCAGAGGCGGCGGTAGAGGCAGGGGCGGCCGAGGCGGCAGAGGCGGCGGCGGCGGCGGCGGCGGTCGAGGCGGCCGCGCGACGAAGGTTGCCAGGGAGGCGCCGCGGGATGGACTCCGACTCCAAGTCGAGGCAGAAGGCTTGAAAAGAGGACGCCGTGCGTAGAGCGTTCGTCGTGTGCAATGTTCTAGTTCGTTCGTTCACGCCGCCGCGAGCTCGGCCTCGAGTCTGACCACCCATAGTTCCGCGTAGTCATCGCCGCGCTCCACCGAGACGCGGTACCACTTCAGCGCCTCCGTCTTGTTCACCGCCACGCCGCAGTCGCCGTGTTCGTAGATACGCCCGAGCCGCATCGGACACGTCTTGCAGCCTAACTCGGCCCCCTTGAGATACAATTCGAGCGCCTTCGCGCCGTTTCGCTCCACGCCGACGCCTGCCTCGCAGCAGTCCGCGAGCTCGAAGGTCGCGTTGAGCTGTCCACAACCGGACGCCCTTTCCCACCACTCACACGCGGTCGAAAGGTCCGTCATCACGCCGCACTCGACGGCGTAGAAGCTTCCCATTTTGAACATGGCATCAGCGTCGCCACGATCAGCCGCTTTACGGAACCAATACGACGCCTTCATGTAGTGGTCTTTACAAAACTTGTCACCGAGCTCACGTAGCGCTTCAGTTGAGCCGGGCAACGACGCGTCGGACTGCTCCGCGTCCCTGAACACCTTACTCACCGCAGCGAGCGCGACGCGATCTTTCGGGTCCTCCAGGTGGGCGAAGATCACGCACGCGATGGCGCCGTCGATCTTAGTGGGGTGTAAAGCCCGGAGAACCTCGAACTCCGCCCTCGTGGCGTCGAGCTCACTGACGAGCTTCGCTCGTTTCGCCCTGGAGTCTTCGAGCTCGGCGTCTCTCTTCGCGAGCGCCGCGCGCGCCTCGCGGAGCTCGCGGTACATCTGCGCAAACTCCACGGCGACGAGATCCGAGGTTTGCGGCGTCGTCATCGTAGCGCGAGGGGGGCACGCGGCGGCGGGGCGCGCGGGAAAGTGAGTCACCGTCTTTTTTTTCTCGACCGTGACGATTTTCGCCTGATTTTCGCACGCCGTCGCCGCGACAAAGGTTATGATACGTTCCGTTCGAGTGCTAAAGATAGACTATCAACTCAACTCGATCGGCGCGCTCGCCCCCCCCCGCGCCTCCCTCTCCCTCTCGAACGCCGCGTACGACCCCGCGCGCGTCCGCTTCTCCTCGTCGTAGAACGAAAACGCGGCGTCCATGGCGGCGATCAACGGCGACAGCCGACCCGCCGACGCGTGCCGCCCCGCGGGCGTCAACGTCTTTTTCCTCGTCTCCATTCGGTCGTACAGCACCCCCAACGCGGCGTTGACGCGGTACGCGCGATCCCACGCCGCCGCGGTGGCGAACGGCCGCGCGGACCAAAAATGTTTGAGGAGCTCCGCGGCGGTCGCCGCGTCGGCTTTGATCTCCGCGTCGACGGCGGGGGGGACGCCGTCGGTGACTGAGGGTCGTTCCATACAAGCGAACGTCGGGGTGGAGTTGAAAGGCGTCAGATGGCGTTGAAAGGCATCGAGGACGGGGATTGAAACCGTGGTGTGTGCGGAGAGAGACGACGGCAAAAGTCCTTAAGGATCGGCGTTCACCACGCGAACGCGGTCGTATGGGGACCAGTGTATAGAACGCGCCTGACGCGAGCGCCTCCGCGCGCGTCCAGCCTTTGTTCTTCTTCGCGCGGCGGTTCTCCTCCGCGATCGCGTCGAGCTGCTTGCGCGCCTGGGCGGGGTCCACGAGCGGGCCGAGCTCGCGCGGTTTCTTATTCGTCGTCGTCGGCGTCGGCGTCGGCGCGGTCGCGGTCGTTCCTTCGGCGGGTTCGGATTTGATTTTTTTCGCCCCTTTTTTTCCACCCGCGCCCGTCGCCGTCTCGTCCTCGTCCGCGCGCTCGCCCCAGTCGATCTTGTGCTCCACCTTGAAGAACCTCGCGACGCGTTTCAGCGCCTCGACGTCGAAGCCGCTCGGCTCGTACTCGTCGTCGTCGCCGCCGCCGCCGCCGGCCTTCCGTTTCTTCCCCCCCGAGGTCGCCGCCGCCGCCGCCGCCGCCAGCTGTGCGTTCGCGTTCGTCCCCGCCGCCTTCCCCGCGGCGGCCGCGGCGCCGCGAAAGTACGCGCTCTCGTCTCGCAGCGTCAGCGTCCTCCGCTTCACCTCCTCGGGCTCGCGCAGATCGTCCAAGACGACGACCACGTCGCCGTCGTCGTCGTCCCCGCCGCCGCCGCCGATCGAGCACAACCCCGCGGCGCCGCCGGCGTCTTCCTGCGCCGCCGCCGCGAGCGCGGCGCTCCTCGCGTCCGTCACCGGCTGACTCGGCCGCCCTCGCAGCACCACCTCCGCGTGATGGTTCAAGTTCGCGAGCACCTCCCTCGCGGCGTACTTCGCCGCCGCCGCCTTGACGCCGCCCGCGGACGCGCGCGCGGCGGCGACGGCAGCCTCGGACGACGGCGGCGGCGGCTCTCTCCCGCCGTCGCGGAAGACGCCGAAGCCCCCCGCCGCGCCGCCTCTGAGATCGTCGTCGGCGTCGGCGACGAGGTTGACGGCTTTCGCGAGCGATTTATTCGCCGCGGTCTTCTTCGCCGCCGCGGGAGGAGCGCCCTTCGCGCTGCCCGAGAAGAGCGCCAGGTCCGCGGCCTCTTCCTCGCCCTGCGGCGGCGCCCCCGCGCGCGCGGCTTTGAAGTACTCGCTTCGCAAGAACCGCGTCCAAAATTCGCGCTCAGGGTCGTTCCATACGAGCGAATGTCGGGGTGGAGTTCAAAGGCGTCAGTTGGAGTTGAAAGGCGCCGAGGTCGGGGATCGAAAGCGAGGGACCCTGGGCGTAGAGATGCCCCGGCAAAAGTCCTTAAGGAACGGCGTTCACCACGCCAACGCCGTCGTATGGGGACCAGTGTATGGGACGCACCTCGGTCATCTTCGACGGCACGTTGTCGAGAAACGCGCGTCGCACCGCCGGCCGCTCCGCGAAGATCCGGTGCATCTTCTCGTTCGACAGCGCGCACGACACCGTGTCCGTGCGCCCGTCGCGCGTGCCCTTGACGTCGCCGTCGAGCGCGTTGGAGACGCCGGCGACTTGCGCGGCGCCCTTCTTCGCGACGGCGGCGTCGAAGAGGTGCTCTCGCTCCGCCCAGAATTGCTCCTCCGTGACCGCGCCTCTGATCCCGTCGTCCTCCGTCCCGTCGTCGTCCGCGGCGCCGCCCTCGCCCGTTGTCTTCCCGAGCGTCGCGCCCTTGCCCTTCTTCACGAGCGTCGCGTGCAGCGCCGCGAGCTCGGGGTTCGCCTTCAGCAACGCCGCGCGAGCGGCGAGCGTCGCCGCGGAGTCGGAAGCGCGCGCGAGACTCGTGAGATTCGACGCGGGCGCGCGCCTCGCGGCGACGACGGCGAGGCGAGACTTGAGCTCGTCGCTCAGCGCGTCGCGATCGCTCTCGAGCGCGAACGTGAGGACCATCGCGGGGGGTTTCGGTTTCGCCGCCTTCGCCTTCGCCGCCGCCTTCGCGCCGGGTGGGTCGCCGCCGAGGACGAGCCGGAGCGACGGCTTCGCCGCGCCGGCTTTGTTCCTCTGAGGGCCATTCCATACAAGCGATTGTCGGGGTGGAGTTGAAAGGCGTCAGGTGGAGTTGAAAGGCGTCGAGGGCGGGGATTGAAAGCGGGGGGTGGGCGGAGAGACACGCCGGCGAAAGTCCTTAAGGATCGGCGTTCACCACGCGAACGCGGTCGTATGGGGACCAGTGTATAGAACGCACCTGATGCGCGGTGATCGAGACGAGCGCGGCGGACTTCTCCCCCGTCGCGCTCGCGGCGTCGGGGCGCCATCGCAGGCGGTCGGACGTGAGCGTGACGTGCCCGGGGACCTGCGCGCCCGCGACGGTCGCCGCGCACGGGACGGTGAGGTCGGCCATGCCGCCCCGCCGCCTCCGTCGGCGCGCGCCTCGAAGTGATTCCGTTCGAGTCTAGGGCATCGTCATCGTCAGCCAATGCCAGCAGTTCGATGACGACAGGAGCGACTTCTCGGAACCCGCGACGGCACTCCGCGCCGCGCGATGTCCCTCGCCGCGCCGTTCCTCGGCACGATCGCGTCGGCGTCGTCGTCGCTCACGCCGCCGCCGGCGCGTCGCGTCGCCGCGTCGGCCGCGTCCGACGCGCCGTCGTCGTCGTCGTCGTCCGCGTCGTCGTCCACGTCGACCGCGTCGCCCTCCTCCTCCTCCTCCTCCGCGGACGGCGCGCGAACGCTCGGATGGGGCAGACGCCGCGGCGCGATCGCCCCGGACGACGCCCTCCTGAACGACCCGAGCACGCACGGGTACTGCGTGTACTCGCACGCGGACTGGTCGCACGCGTACGCGTCCGCGACGGGCGAACACGACGAACTCATCGCGTCGTCGGCGATAGAAGGGGCGATCCCTCCCGAGCTCCTCGGCGGCGTGCTCTACCGCAACGGCCCGGGACTCTTCGAGCGCGGCGGGAAGGCGTACGCGCACATGCTCGACGGCGACGGGTACGTGTGCCGGTTCGAATTCCGCGACGACGGTTCGTGTGCCTTCATCTCGCGGTTCGTGCGCACGGAGGAGTTCGAGGCGGAGGACGCGGAGAACGCGGTGACGTATCGCGGGACGTTCGGGACCATGCGCGACGGCGGGCCGCTGCGCAACGCGTTCGATTTGCACCAGAAAAACCTCGCGAACACGAACGTACTCGCGTGGGGCGGGAGAGTATACGCGATGTACGAGGCTGGTCGACCCGTGGAGCTCGACCCCGCGACGCTGCGCGCGAAGGGCGAGAAGGATCTCGACGGGAAGTTGCCGAAAGGGATGTTCATCTCGGGCGCGTTCCATACACTGGTCCCCATACGACCGCGTCGGCGTGGTGCACGCCGATCCTTAAGGACTTGGCCCGTCGTCTCTTTCCGCCCACACCTCGCTTTCAACACCCGACCGCGACACCTTTCAACTCCAACTGACGCCCTTCAACTCCACCCCGACGTCGCTTCGCGTGGACCTACCCTCAGTCGGCGCGCCGAACGCGATCGAACGCGCGCTCGGGCTCGGCGGCGTCGCGTTCACCGCGCACCCGCACGTCGACCCGGTCGCCGATAGGCTCGTCGGGTGGGGCTGGCGCAGCGTCGTGTTGGATAAGTGCGTCGAGGCGACGTTCTGGGAGTGGGACCGCGACTGGCGCTGCGGAGCCGCGGAGGGGACGACGCATCGACTGGCGGGGTGCGAAGGCGCGTTCTATACACTGGTTCCCGTACGACCGCGTTGGCGTGATGAACGCCGATCCTTAAGGACTTCGCCCGGCGCATCTCTCCGCCCACACCTCGCTTTCGATACCCGCCCTCGACGCCTTTCAACTCCGCTTCTGACGCCTTTCAACTCCACCCCGACGTTCGCTCGTATGGAACGACGCATCGAAGCCGCGCCGCACGACTTCGCGGTGACGGCGTCGTGGTACGTCATGATCCAGAACTGCCTGCGCGTGGACCCGGGGCCGTATTTGTTGGGGTTGAAAGGCGCGGGCGAGTGTTTGGTGTCCGAGCCGGAGAAGCCGGTCACCGTGCACTTGGTACCGAGGCCGCGCGGCGGCGGCGGCGAGGCGGCGGAGGACGAGATGAAAAACCCCCGAGAGGCGGTGTCCGCGGCTGGTCCGACGGAGTCGTTCGAGATTCACGTCGCGTTCGCGCACGACGGCCCACCGATCAGCGACGGCCCGACCGCGACCGACGACGCGATGAACGAATGGGTGACCGCGTACACCGCGGGGTGGGATAAGCTCTCCCCCGGATCGTTCCTCGGCGAGTGGGACGCGTCGTCCGAGCCGTGGGCGTTTCCGATCGCGACGGCGCTGAGCCCGGACTTCAACAACATCCCGCGGACGTTACTTTGGCGTTACCAAATAAACACAATCACCGGGGACGTGATACGAACCGTCGCGCCAGGCTGCGATGACCTCTGCATCGACCACCCGCACGTCAACCCTCTGTTCGAGGGCCGACGCGAGTGTCGCTACGTCTACGCGTCCGTGTCGAACGAGACGCGATGCTCGGGACCCCCGCTGGGGTACGTCCGCGTCGACGTCGCGACGGGCGAGACGCAGACGTGGTGGGCGGGGAACCGGTGCTTCTGCGAGGAGGTCGTCGTCGTGCCGAAGCGGTCGCGTGCATCGGGCGTGGGATCAGACGCGGACGCGGACGCGCGAGAGGAGGAGTGCTGGGTTCTGGGCATGGTCGCGGATCACGATCCGGAGAACGGCGCGCGCGGGAAGAGTTCTCTTTTGATTTTGGACGGCGCCGACGTGAGCAAAGGGCCCGTCGCGCGCGTGAGGCTGAACGAGCGCATACCGCACGGGCTGCACGGCGCGTTCGTGGGGCGGGGGGGGACGTAGGGTAGCGCGATGATGTAGTGTGGTGTGGTGCCGTGGTTTGATTATGAAGTAACGGTCGATATTCGCGCGCTACGTCGCTCGAACGCCGACCGTAAGAGGACGCCCCTCCAGTCGTCGCGCGACTAGCTCACCACGCACATGGCGCATAAGTACTCATACCCCTGGGGCGGTATCTCCCTCATGTTCAGCGTGTGTTCGCCGTCGACGACCGGCGTCCTCTTGTGATCTCGCACGGCTTGACCGTCGGGTCCCTTGATATCGCCTAGAGATTCGTTCGAGTTCATCTCCCACCTGTACAGCTCGTCGTACATGGGCTGCGTCATGCGAAAGTTCTGGTACAACTTCGTCCAGCTCTTGTTCATGGTCTTGCGGAACTCCGCGTACGTCATCTCCGGCGGAACGACGACGTCCACGTTATTGACGCAGTAGTATCCCGGATGGTTGCCGTCCTTCTCCGGGATCGCGCGGTATTCGCTCAGCTGGAACTCTTTCCCGTGCGTCACGGTGCACTTGATCTGAACCATGATTATTGTGTCGAACACGATCGACCGCGAACCGACGACTTTAGAAGGATCGAGCGATTTATTTTCGGATCGATCGACGCTTCCTTCCACGCGGCCGGCCGCGGGGACAGCGGACGCGACGACGGTGAACGCGCGGAGGACGAGAGGCGAGGCGACGTTCGACGCGCGCGAGGAGCTGACGTCCCGCGCGGTTCGGAGGCGTGCATTGGCTGTCCGTCCAAACGGTCTCCCTTACAACTAAGTTGTTACCTTCGTTTCGCGCCGCGCGCCGCGCGGCGCCGCGCGGCTGGTGCCGTCTGCGCTCCGCTGCGCTGTTGCTTTTTGTCGCCTCGGAAAGTCGACGGCGCGCCACACGCGTCGGCGCGGACGCGCGGCCTCGGCGAGGCGGCGCGCGCGGCGTCGCCCCCCCACACCCCCTCGCCCGTCATGACGCTCGCGTCGCTGTGCGCGAAGCTCCGCGAGCTCGTCCCATCGTCGCCCCCCGCGTCGGGCGCGCATCCCCCGCCGGACCGCGCGCGATGCTTCGTCCTCCTCGCCGAGATTTCCGTCGCGATACGCGCGTGCGACGCCTCGCTCGTCAAGGCGTCCCAGCGCGAGATGGAGGATTTGCTTCTGCGCATCTGCGTCGGCGGCTGGGCCGGTCCCGCGGTGCGCAAGAGCGCGTCAGACGTGCTCTGCGCGCTGTTCGCGGTGGGCAACTCCGTCGCGCTGTACGCGCGCGTCAACGAGCTCCTCGCGGTCGTGACGAGTCCGATCGAGAAGGGCGCGGTCGCGGCGTCCGCGTCGCAGCACGTCGGCGCGAGAGTCGGCGCGTTAGAGTGCGTCGAGACGCTCGCGCGAGGAGGTGCGCGCGCGCCGCCCCAGTCGATTCCATGGCGCCGCGCGTTCCTCCACGTCATCGAATCTGATCGCGCGTGCTCACCGATCGCTCGCCTCCCCTCCGCGTCCTCCGTCCTCCGCAGGGCACGGCGCGTCGCTCGTCGGCAGCGCCGGCGGGTTCGTCGCCGCCGTCGCCAAGCTGCTGAAATCATTCCCGCCGCCGTCTAGCGCGGGTGGCGCGGCCCCGGACGTCGACGTCCATAAGCGCGCGCTGCGCCGCGCGGCGCACGGCGCGATCGCGGCGGTCGTGAGCGGCGCGACGGCGGAGCGGCCGCTGCGCGCGGAGGCGCGTTCTTCTCGCACTGGTCCCCATACGACCGCGATGGCGTGGTGAACGCCGTTCCTTAAGGACTTTTCCCGGCGTGTCTCTCCGCCCACCCCGCGGTTTCAATCCCCGCCATCGACGCCTTTCAAATCCGCTTCTGACGCCTTTCAACTCCACCCCGACGTTCGCTCGTATGGAACGACCCTGACGCGTAGACTCGCGTCGAGGCGCTGAAAGTCGCGTTGCGAGGCGTCGCGCCGACGGCGGCGGCGTCTTCCTCCTCGTCGTTCGGCTCGTCCGGCTCTCTGAAATCGCTCGCGGCGGTGGACTCCGCGGATCGTCACGACGGCGTCGTCGCCGCGGCCGCCGCGCGGGCCATCGGCGCGATCGCCGCCGCGCCGTGCGGCGACGGCGGCGGCGTCTGGGGCGATAAGCCGCCGGGGATCGCGTCGGCGCGTAAAGGCTCGGGCTCGCCGTCGTGGTCGTGCGCGGGCGAGGAGGCGTGCGCGGCGCTGGCGCGGGTGATGGAGGACGGCGACGCCGTAGCGCACGCGGCGGCGGCGGCGGCGCTGGGGCGGCTCGCCGCGACGAGGCTTCGCGGGGGGCGCGGGAGCGGAAACGGCGGAAACGGCGGCGGCGGCGGCGGCGAAGAGAAGAGCAAAAGCGGCGACGCGCCCTCGGCTAAGAAGACTTCTGGGTTCGGTCACAAGCGCGGCGGCAGCCACGGCGCGAAGTCCATGGACGCGGAGACCGCGGCGGCGGCGGCCGCGGCGGCCGCCGCCGCGATCGCCGCCGCCGCGGGCCCGCTCGACATGGACTCCCCCGCCGCGGCGTCGCGATGGGCGGAGACGACGCGCCTGTGCTTCGCCGAGCCGTTCGCGCGAAGTCTCGGCGGCGGCGGCGGCGCCGCCGCCGCGCGCGGGAAACGCCTCCGCGTCGGCCTCGCCGCGGCAATCGTCGCGTTCGTCCGCGCGTCGAACGACGCGTGCGCGCCGGGGTCGCTCCCTCCGTCGCTCCTCGCTCGCGTCGCGACGGACGCGCTCCGATCCGTCCCGGCGGGGGGGACCGACGCGTCGTCGTCGTCGTCGTCGTCGTCGTCGTCCCCCCATGCCGCCGCGTGCGCGCTCTACATCCTGCGCGCGGGCGTCCTGCGCCACGTGGACGAAGCCGGGCAGCGGCTCGTGCTCGGCGCGCTGCTGGCGACGCTCCCCGGCGGTGAGGCGAGCGACGGCGTCGACGCGCGCGTCGCCGCGCGCGCGATCGCCGTCGCGATCGAATGCATGGGAAGCTTCGCCGCGGAGGACGCGACGTTTCGGGAGACCGCCGACGCGCTGACGACGGCGCTGAGGGTGTGCGGGGAGAGCGAGGGCGAGCGCGGGGTGTCGGAGTGCGCGGCGGCGGTCCGCGCGCTCGCGGCGGCGGCGCCCGCGACGGCGGCGGCGACGTTGCGGCGGACGCTCGAGACGATCCGCGGCGGCGGCGGTGCGGCGGGCGTCGGCGCCGTCGTCGGCGCCGCGGCTGCCGCCGCGGCGCTGACCGCGGCCGCGGACGCGCTCGAGCTCGGCATACCCGCGGGGTTACTCCTCGACGCCGCGCTCGTCGGCGGCGCGGTCGCGTACGGCCCGCCGTCCGCGTCGTTCGAGTCGAACGCGGCGAAGGCGCGGGGGTGGGACGTCGTCGCGGCGGCGATTCAAAACGGACCCGCCGCGGACGTCGCCGGCGCCAGCTGTACCGCCGCCGTCGCGGAGGGGTTATCCAGGGCGTTCGACGCGAGCGCGTTCAAGGCGACGGCGGAACGAGGAGACGGGGGGGAGGGCGCGGTGAACGGTCAGGGCGCGGTGAACGCGCGCGCGGGCGCGAAGAAGAAGGACGCCGCCGTCGATCGCCGCCGCCGTCCGGGCCCGGGCCCGGGCCCGCCCGCGGAGGAAATACGTTGGCGCGCCGCCGCCGCGTCCGCGCTCGCGGCGTTCGCGTCGAGATACCCGACGCACGAGCGCGTCCCGGGGCTCCTGGACGCCGCGCTCGCGTGCGCGGGATCTTGTGGCGGCGTCGGCGGCGGCGGCGACGACGACGACGACGCGATCTCGTTCGCGTGGCCCGCGGACCCCGCGGCGGCGGCGGCGACGGCGACGCTCCGCCTGCGCGTCCTCGAAGCGTTTCTCGCCGCCGCGTCGGCGTCGCCGCCGCCGCGCCACCAATCGCTGGTCGCCGCGTGGCGCTCGCCGTTCGACGACGCGTCCGGCGCGCTTCTGTCGCTGTGCACGTCCCCCGCGCCGGGCGGCGTCGCGACCGCGGCGCTGCTCGCGGCGTTAGACCGCGCGGACGACGCGCTGGGTCCGTCGCCGCGGGGCCGCGACGCGCTTCTCGACGAATTGCGATCGTTCGACGGCGCGTCGGACGCGCCAGATTTGGTGACGTGGCGACCGTTGATTGGCGGCCCGCACGGCGTCGTGATGGACGAATACGGCGGCGGCGCGTTCCCGGGGAACGTCGGCCTCGCGTCCGCGCTGAGGCAGACGCAGGCGGCGGTCCTCGCGCGCGTCGCCGTCGAGGGCGGAGAAAACGTCAGACGCCGGCGCGCGGCGGCGTTGGATTTTTTGACGCGCGAGACGCTCGCCGCCGCGGGCGAAGAACTGTCGGAAAACGCCGACACCGCGTCGTCAGACACCGCGACGTCCGAACGCGCCGCCAGCGGCCCGATGAGATACTTCAAGTCGAAGAAGCCGCCGAGAGGAGGCGACGACGGAGAAGGCAAACGCGACCGCGGCTCGACCGCGGCGCTGACGAACGCGTGCGCGTTCGCCCTCGCGGTGGCGTCCGCGTTCGAAAACGCTCCTCCCGCGTCCGTTATCGGTCAACATTCGTTATCCGACGACGAGAGAACGGACGTCGGGAAGACGTTCGCGCGCCTCGCGAGCGTCATCTCGCGCAGCGCGCACGGCGCCGCCGCGCACTGGCGCGCCGCCGCGTCCCTGGACGCGCGCGCCGCGCGCCTCCACGGCGACGCCGTCGCCGCCGTCTCTTCCAAATCAAACGCGCTCCTATCCCTCCCCGCGACGCGCTCCGGCGGGCCCGGAGACCGACACCTCGGCGGTGGTCGCGCCGTCGTCGCGATGTCCCTCGCGTCCGCGTTTCGAACCGCGGGCGCGCTCGCGCACGGCGGCCGCGCCGTCGTCGCGGCCGCGACGCGAACGCTCTCCGCGGCGGCGACGCAAGTGGACGTGACCCCCTCCGGCGTCCACCTCTGGTCGCTCCACGCGCTGAGCGTCGTCGCGACGCACGCGGGGCCGGGGTTCCACGCGCACGCTGACGACGCCTTGCGGCTCGCGGCGGCGCTGCTGGACGCGCCGGAGGCGAGGTACGCGCCCGCGGGGTCGAAGGTGCGTCCTGTTGTACACTGGTCCCCATACGACCACGTCGGCGGGGGGGTGAACGCCGTTCCTTAAGGACTTTGCCCGGCGCATCTCTTCGCCCACCCCTCGGTTTCAATCCCGACACACCTCGACGCCTTTCAACTCCGACTGACGCCTTTCAACTCCACCCCGACGTCATCAGGCGGCGTCCGCGGTGGGCCGGCTGATCAACGCGTGCGTCGCCGCCGTCGGACCGGAGCTGGACCCGCGCGGGGAGACGTTCGCGCTCGCGTCCGCGCTCATGACCGCGGTCGGCGGCGGCGGCGCGGACGTGGACGCGCGCGCGAACTCGAATTTGAATTTGAATTCGACAGACGGCGACGGCGGCGACGGCGACGGCGAGGACGACGACGGCGACGCCGCGCGCGCGCTCGAGGCGGCGACGTTTCTCATGCAGCTCGCGCTGTTCGCGCCGCACGCCGCGCCGCCGTCGGCGCTCGTGCCGCGGCTCCGACGCGCGCTGCGCGCGGGTCAGCCCGCGCTGCGCGCCGCCGCGGCCGCGACGCTGCGGCACCTGTGCGAGAGGGACGCGAGCGCGGTGTCGGACGCCGCGGCGGCGGGCGGCGGCGGCGGCGGCGGCGGCGGCGACGACGACGGCGGATTAGAGGCGGACCTTCTCGCGCTTTTGGACGGGTTCGGGGACGCGGACGCGAAGACGTCCAACGACGCGCGCCGCGCGCTGTGGCTGCTGACGTCCGCTGCGGCCGTCGACCGCCCGGTCGTCGCGCTGCGCAGGCTCGCCGCGGTCGCGCTGCACGCGGGCACCGCGTCGGATTCCGGCGGCGGCGGCGGCGGCGGCGACGACGTGCTCGAGGACGACGGCGACGGCGACGGCGACGGCGACGGCGACGGCGAAGACGCGCGCGGCGCCGCGACCACCTCGCGCCGCGCGCGGCGGCGGCAGCGCGGCGCGCCTCGGCTCGCGACGCAGCTCCTCGCGGCGTCGCTCATGGCGTCGGTGCCGTCGCGCGTCTCCTCCGCGGACGCAGCGCACGTCAACCTCTCCGCCGCGCGCGCCGCTTCATCCGCCGGCCGCGGGAAGCACTGGCTCGTCCTCAACGCGCACCTCGTCGTCGACTTGGGGTACGGACTCGCGACCGCGCCGTCGCACGCGCTGAGACCGGCGGGATTAGCGCTGCTTCGCGGGCTGACGCGACGGCTGCGATCGACGACGGACCCGGACGTCGACGACGACGACGCGGGGTTGATGGAGCAGTTTCAGGTGCGTTGTATACACTGGTCCCCATACGACCCCGTTGGCGTGGTGAACGCCGATCCTTAAGGACTTTGCCCGGCGTCTCTCTCCGCCCAGGGTCGCTCGCTTTCAATCCCCGACCTCGGCGCCTTTCAACTCCAACTGACGCCTATGAACTCCACCCCGACATCGCTTTGTATGGAACGACCCTAAGGCGCAGGCGCTGAGCGCGCTGCGACCGGCCGCGGACCCGCGCGCGTCGCCGAGGAGCCTTCTCGAGGGCGTCGCGCTCGCCGCGGAGTGCCTGCGCGCGCGGATCGCGCGCGGGGACGTCGCGGCGACGCGGCGGCTCGTCGCCGTGGTCGCCGCGCCGGCGAGGGCGTGGCTGTTTCCGAATTCATCAAACGCGAACGCGACGACGACGACGGGCGGCGGCGAAGAAGAAGAAGAGGACGCCGCGCGCTCGTCGACGACGCACGCGATGCTGACGGACGCGGCGGAGTGCGCGGAGGGGATCACCGCGCGGTTGCGCGTCGCGACGCTCGCCGCGCTCGCGCGCGTCGCGCGCGCGGCGGCCGCGGACGAGACCGAGGCGTTGACGAACGCCGGCGTCGACGTCGCCGTCCTCGCGCCGCGGTGGCTCGACCTCCTCGCGGACTTCGCCGCCGTCGCCGCGATGGGCGGGCCGAGAGCGTGCGGCGTCGACGCCGCGCGCCGCGCGCGTTTGATGACGCATCGTTCTTCTTCGAACGCCGCCGCGGACGCGGACGACGACGACGACGACGCGCGGGCGCGGGCGCGGGTCTTCTCCCGAGATGGAAACGGATGCGCGCCTCGGCTCGGGCTCGTCCCCGCGGCGCTTCGCGCGCGCGGCGTCGTCTTCGCGGACCTCGCCGCGGCGTGGCCGGATGTCCTCGACGCGCTGACCGCGGCGATCGCCGGCGAGGCCGCCGCGGGGGTCCGAGCGCGCGGCGTCGCGGTCGCGGTCGCGACGCCGCGCGGGTGCGTCGCGTTCGTCCTCGCGTTCGCGCGGATGGCGCTGACGCGTTCGCTGTCGCTTCGCTCCCGCGACGACGACGACGGCGGAAACGGCGGCGGCGGCGGCGCGCTCGCGGCGCCGTTGAACCCCGCCGCGGGGGACGGCGGCGTCGACCTCGAGCGCGGCGCGCCGAGCGACGCGCAGGTCGCACTCGCGATCCGAGCGGTGCGACGAACGATCGCGGCGGCGGCGAAGGCGGGGGAGGATGAGGATTCGGAGGGGGCGGGCGCGGCGGGGGACGAGCTCGTCGTCGCCGCCGTCGACGCCGCGACGGCGGCGATCGCGTCCGGGACGGGCGGCGGCGACGGCGCGCGCGAGGCGTCGGCGCTCGTGGACGCGATCGTCGCGTCGCTCCCGTCGGCGGGAAGTACGAAAACGGCGGCGTCCGAGGCGCGCGCGTTCGCCGCCGCGTCGCTCGCGGCGGCGACGGCGAACGCGGCGGCGCGCGCGGCGACCGACGCCGACGCCGCCGCGCCGCGCGTGACGAGACGCGTCGCGGCGTTGCTTCGCGCGATCGCGCGCGCGACGGACCCGGGAACGGAGGCGTACGCGTCGTTGCGGACGTCGTTGACGGTGCTGGCGACGCGCGCGCTGACGGCGACGCGCGGCGGCGACGACGACGACGACAGGGAGGAAGAGGACGACGTCGCGGCGGCGTCGTTGTTCCGCGCGCTCTTGACGCGCCCGCCTCTCGGCGGCGGCGACGGCGGCGACGCCGTCGCCGCCGCCGCCGTCGCCGCCGCGTGCGCGGCGACGCGCGACGACGGCCGCCGCCGCCGCCGCGACCTCGACGGCGCGTTCAAAGCCGTCGCCGTCGCGGCCGCGCGCGCGCCGACGCCCTCCGACGCGGCGGCGGCAACGGCGGCGTTGATCGCCGGCGTCGACGGCGGCGGCGGCGCGGAGGTGAGACTGCTTCCCATACGACCCCGTTCGCGTGGTGCACGCCGTTCCTTAAGGACTTTTCCCGTCGTCACTCTTCACCCGCGCTTCCCTTTCAACGTTTGACCGGTAAGACGTTCGACTGACCGATCGCTTCACCCACGCAGACGGCGGAGAAGCAGGCGGCGGCGCTCGCGGCGATCCGCGTCGTCGTCGTCCAGCCGGGAACTGGTATCGGCGGCGGCGATGAGGACGACGCCGAGGAGGATAAGGACGTGGCGGCGCGCGCCGCGCGATCGGTCCTCGCGCGCGTCGGCGCGGCGGCCGCGGCGGGCACGCGCGCGCGCGCCGCCGTCGTCGCCGCCGGCGCTCCCGCCGCGCCGGATGACGTGCTCGCGGTGGCCGAGGGCCTTAAACTGTGGGCCGCGGCGTTATCCCTCGCCCCCGCCGCGGACGCCGACGCCGACGCCGACGCCGCGTCCGCGTCCGCGCGCGCGGAGATCCTCTCCGTTCTCCTCCCGCTCGCGATCGACGCCGCGGAGGCTGGGAACGACGCGCTGCGGACGGTGGTCGGGCGGCTCGTCACGCGACTGGCGGGCGCGCACGCGGACGCGTTCAGGGTCGTCGTCGGCGGGCTGTCGCCGGAGACGAAACAGAGGCTCGGGCGCGCGCTCGCCGCGGACGGCGGCGGGGGTCGAGGCGGCGGCGGCGGCGGCGAGGGGGTCGTGACGGCGCGAGCGCCGCCGACGATCGCGCTGAAGACGTCGTTTTAGGTAAACGAGCGAGGGCGCAGCGCGGAGGAGCAGCGCGGGCTCCGGGCGGGGCTTCATACCTCAATTTAAGACTAAAATTTTTGTTGCCCGCGCTCGTTCCTGATTGGCCGGGACCCGGTCGCCTTTGCCATCGACGGCTGAGGGAAAATAGACCGTGATCCTTGAGTTAATTCCCTCGAAGTTTGCCCCTAAATTTCGAAATACGTTGGCCGAGCCCGCGTGCGCCATTCACTTTTCACGCGCGCGTGTCTCGTAACCACACTCCATCAAAATGGCCAAGCCCACCTCCAAGAAGCCCGCCAAGAAGTCCCTCAAGGGCGGCAAGAAGGGCGGCAAGAAGTCCAAGACCGAGACGTACAAGATCTACATCTACAAGGTCCTCAAGCAGGTGCACCCCGACACCGGGATCTCCTCCAAGGCGATGTCCATCATGAACTCCTTCATCAACGACATCTTCGAGAAGATCGCCACCGAGGCGTCCAAGCTCGCCCGCTACAACAAGAAGCCGACGGTCACGTCCCGCGAGATCCAGACCGCGGTCCGCCTCATCCTCCCCGGTGAGCTCGCCAAGCACGCCGTCTCCGAGGGCACCAAGGCGGTCACCAAGTTCACCTCCGCGTAAGCGACGCGAGGTCGAACGAGGTTGCGCACACCTCGAGCGTCTACTACGTTAGTCGAGCGCGATCACGACATCCCTCGACGCACAAACACCAATGGTGATACTTAATCACCACCACTCTCACGAGAACGATCGCGTCGACGAGAGAGGCGCGCCCGGGGCGTCGCTTCGCTCAGATCTCGGACGACGAGAAAAACGAACGAACGCCTCCGCTCGAGTTCAAAATAAAAATACGAAATCGTTCCGCTCGCGCGCCAGCCTTCTTCGCTTCCGTCTCGAGCACCGCGCGCGCAGAGAAACGCCACCGACCTCGAATTCGTCGTCGTCGTGTACCGAGCGCGCGCGCGCGATCGACGGACGAGACGACGTTCGAAAGGGATCGAGGAGGACGCGTCGCGCGCGTTTGAATCGATTTCGATCGTATTTAAATACCGCCTCCAACAGCTCTCCACCGCGCGCGTCCGCGTCCCGCTATCGTAAATAACGCCTTCTCTCTTCTCTCTCTACCCGCGCGCCTCCCCCGCCTCCTCGCCCCGCCCCTCCTCCCTCGCCCTCCTCGTCGCGTTCGCGTAGCACACCTCCCTCCACCTCGACGCGACCGTCCCCAACTCCATCGCGTCGAAGTAATCCGACACCGCCAGCCCGCCGTCCGCGGGGTTTGGCACCTTGTCCGCGATGGCCAAGTCCGCGATCGGCAACGCGGGGTCTGACGCGGCGACGCGTGATAGGTCGAGGGAAGACACGCGTCAGTCGCGCGGACGTGTGATTGGTGGGAGAAGTTCCCACGTGTCAAAACGTGAGGCGCACAGCACAGCGCGCGAAAGAACGCCTTAGAAACGACGCGCGACGCGGCACGCGCGAACGGGAGCGCACGGGAAGCAGTAAAAAGAAGTCCGTCCTCCGTCGCACCGTTGAGCGTCGGCACGGAGAGCCGCGTGCGAATCTTAACCAGCGATCGACACAGGTACGCGCTCGCGGCGCCGCGCTCGCTCGCCAGACTCTCGCGCGCTCTCTTATTCTTTATCCCCCCCGCGTTCGCGATCGCGCCCTCGATGTTCCCGTACTCGCTCAGCAGCTTGGGCGCCGTCTTCGGCCCGATGCCCTCGACGCCTGGAACGATGTCGGGGTGGAGTTGAAAGGCGTCAGAAGCGGAGTTGAAAGGCGTCGAGGTGTGTCGGGATTGAAAGCGAGGGACCCTGGGCGGAGAGAAACGACGGGAGAGAAAGTCCTTAAGGATCGGCGTTCACCACGCCATCGGGGTCGTATGGGGACCAGTGTGATACTAGAACGCGCCCGGGACGTTGTCCGACGCGTCTCCCACCATCGCGAGCACGTCCACGAACTGCGCGGGGTCCAGGTCCGAGAACTCCGCGCGGAAGTCGCGCTCGGTGAACGGCACGAGGCCTTTGCCGGTGACGTTCCGGTGCGTCGGGTCCCCGAACCCGTCGCTCGCGGCGTCCTCGCCGTCTCGCGCCGCCGCCTCTTTCGCCGCGTCGTAATTTTTCCCATTCGGACGCAACTGCCGCACGCGCGGTCCCAACAGCTGAAAAAAGTCCTTATCCGGGCTCACGATCGTGACGTGCAGCCCCGCCTCGACGCTTCGACGCGCGATCGTGCCTATGATGTCGTCCGCCTCGACCCCGGAGATCGTGAGCACCGGCACGCCCATCCGACGCACCGCCTCCACGACTTTCGGAATCTGTTCTTTGAGCTCCTGGGTTGGACGCGATCGATCGATTGATTCGTCGAGGGTAGATGCGCGTCAGTCAGTCAGTCGCGCGGACGTGTGATTGGTGGATGCATTTCCCACGTGTCAAAACGTGAGGCTGACACGTTGCGCGCGAAAGGAAAGGACGCCTTAAGAAACGACGAGCAACGCGCGAACGGGAGCGTATGGGAAGCAGTCCAATGCGCGTCGCGTCGGTCTCACCGGCGGCGTCGGCGGCCGGTTGGCTTTGTAATCCGTGAACATCTCGTGCCTGAGGGTCGTTCCATACAAAGCGACGTCGGGGTGGAGTTCATAGGCGTCAGTTGGAGTTGAAAGGCGTCGAGGGCGGGGATCGAAACCGTGGGGTGGGAGGAGAGACGCGCCGGCAAAAGTCCTTAAGGATCGGCGTTCACCACGCCGACGGGGTCGTATGGGAACCAGTGTATAGAACGCGCCTGAACGTCTTCCCCTTGGCGTCGAAGCACACCGCGACGTGCGACGGCGCGAGCTCCAATATCGCGAGGATCGCGTGCGTCACCGAGTACATCACGCTGAGGTCCTCGCCGTTCGTCGCGAGCAGAGGCTCGCGGTTGCGCCAGCCGTAAAACGCGCGAAAGACGAGCGACATGCCGTCCACGAGGGCGACGTGTCCGGGCGGGAGGGACTCGTCCTCGGGCACGCACGCGTCCGCGCCCGCGTAGTTTGGCGGCTGCGGCGCGTACGGCGTCGGCGTCGGCGCGGCGTCGGCGGCGTTTGCGTCTTCGTCTTCGCTCGCGCGCGTCGTCGTCGTCGTCGTCGTCGTCGTCGGGACGACGTTCGAAAAACGATCTCGTCGCGCGTCCGCGTCGTCCGCGGCGTCCTCCTCGCTCGACGCCGCGTCGCTCGCGCGGATCTTCGCCGCGGCGAGCGCGGACGCGCGGCGGCGGCGAGCGAGGAGGACGCCGCCGAGGGGCGCGGGCGGCGGCGTCTCCGTCGACGGGACGCGACCGACGCGAAGATGACGCGCGAACGACGCGGGCGTCGTCGGCGCGAGCGACGCGAGCGATCGACGCGCGCCGCGACGCGCGCCGACGGGGCCGCTCGCGCCGGATCCCGACGCGAGGACGGCGGCGCTCGCGGCCGCGCGCGCTCGCATCGCGCACGCCATGACGCTCCTTCGCATGCAACCCCCCTGACGCCGCGGGCGAGCGTATCGACGGCGCGCTCTGGCGCGCGCCGCGCCCCCGCCCCGGGGCTTCCCGCTTTTCTGCTCCAGTGACAGCTCCGGATTTTGAAGCTTTGAACCGGCCTTTGCTTTGAACCGTCGCTGATGACCGGGCGCCAGGCGTCGCCCGTCGATCGATGATGACTCGGATCCCAGTCGGATCCGACCGTGCGAGCGTCGAGCTGGGGCGTTTGAACCGCGACGAGGGCGATCTCGCGTCGGTCACTCCAAGCGACGGCCCGCGGACAGACGCGCACGCCGTTTGCCGCCATGATGCGATCCGCGACGATCGCGCCGACGACGACCTTCGCGGCGACGCGGGTGCGCCCCCCGCCCTTCTCTTCTCCCCGCGCGCGCGTCGCGCTCGTCGCCCCCGCGGGCGAAGAAAAAAGAAAGATGTTGACGGACGAAGGGAACACCGCGATTCAACATCGTCGCCGCCCTCCTCCTCCTCCTCCTCCTCCTCCTCTCCCGTTCTCTCTCCCGCGCGCCCGGCCTGATCCCTTCGCCGCCCGCGCCCACCCTTCGCCATCCCGACGCCGCGCGCGATCCGTCCGCTCTCCGACCGACGTCTCGTCTCCCCCTCCACGCCGCCCCGTCCATCCCCCCGTCCTCCTTCCCTCCCCGCCAGTCGGCGCGCGCGCGCGCGCGTGCGCGCCGCGCCCTCAGCCTCGGACGCCCGACGCGAGACCGCGTCGTCGGCCGGCGCGGGCGCGGATCGATCCCGGCGACGCGCGCGTCCTCACGCGACGACGACGCGCGCGAGCACGACGCGAACGCGTCGCGCGACGAGGACGATGATGAGAAGGACGCGAACGACGACGACGACTTCGGCGCGGCGTTCAAGTCCTTCTCCGCCGCGGCCAAGGGCGTCGCGAACGCCGCGTCGGGGGTTTTCCGATCCAAGACGGGCGGCGCGGGCGACGTCCTGGAGAAGGGCGGCGACGACGCGCCCGGCAAGAATTACAACGAAGACGTCGAGCGGCTTTCCGGCGACGACGGCGTGATCGAAGGCATGCTCGTGGAGGACGCGGCGATGAACGCTTTGTACGAAGAGATGGAACAGAAGACCGCGAAGGGCGGCGGCAACGTGGACGACGAGTGGGCGTCGTCGTTCGAGGGCGGCCGGAACATCGACGGCGACGAGGTGAAGAAGACGGAACGGAAGAAGAAGGAGAAGGAAAAGGACGCGGAGAAGAACGGCGATGCTGAGGGGTCCGCGTCGGATCCCGAGATCGTCGCCGAAAAGGATGACGAAAAGGATGACGAAAAGGACGACGACGACGACGACGACGAATCAGACGCGGCGGAGGAGGTCGAGGCCGAGATCGAGGAGGACGTCGTCGTCGCGAAGAAGCGGCAGCCGTCCGCGCTGGAGAAGATCATGGAAGAGCTCACGCTGGACTCCGAGATGCTCGACGACGGCAGGCTCGTGGAGACGGTGCAGCTCATAAAGACGCGATTTAAGGCGCGTTCTATACACTGGTTCCCATACGACCGCGTTCGCGTGGTGAACGCCGATCCTTAAGGACTTTCTCTCCCGGCGATTCTCTCCGCCGATCACCCCACGCTTTCAATCCCGACACACCTCGACGCCTTTCAACTCCGCTTCTGACGCCTTTGAACTCCACCCCGACATCGCTTCGTATGGAACGACCCTCAGATTAAAAAGGCGGTGAACTTTGGCGAGGTGCTAAGAATGGTCGGCGGGCACGAGAGCTTCGGGGCGTGGTCGCTGAAGAAAGCGCCCGCGCTGACGTGGTCCGAGGGTGATAACTGGGTCTCCGAGGACGTCGAGCTCCCCGTGGACGGCGTGTTCGTGTACAAGTACGTCGTGACGGACGCGCAAGACGCGGGCAAGCCGGTGGCGTGGCAAAAGGGGAACAACCAAGTTTTGGTTCTCTCCGCGTCCGGTGCGTTCTCCTCACACTGGTCCCCATACGACCGCGTCGGCGTGGTGAACGCCGTTCCTTAAGGACTTTTCCCGGCGCATCTCTCCGCCCAGGGTCCCTCGCTTTCAATCCCCGCCCTAGACGCCTTTCAACGCCAACTGACGCCTTTCAACTCCACCCCGACGTTCGCTCGTATAGACGCGCCGCTGCTCATCGTGCAAGACGACTGGATCGGCGACCCCGCGAAGAGCTACACGTCCGCGGAGGACGGCAGCGATAAGATGCTGAGCGAGCAGCGACTGGTGCAGAGGATCGGCGACGCGGACGCGGCGCTGCATCAGTCGAGACTGGACGTGATGGATCTGAAGGTTGAGGTGAAAACCGCGCAGTTGCAATCCGCGGCGTTGCGAGAGGAAGCGCGGTTAAGTAGCAACGTGCGTTTGAAGCTCAAGCAGCAGCTCAGCGCGGAGAAGAAGCGGAGCGAGGTGCTCGAGCAGCAGGTGTTCGAGTGGAAGAACAAGTTCAAGACCTTGGGCCCGGGGAAGGAGAAGAAGGATAAGAAGGATGAGAAGGACTCGGGCGCGACGAAGAAAAATGCCGCGGCGGCGGCGGCGAAGGCGCCGCCGACGCCGCCGACGCCGCCGAAGGCGCCGCCGGCGCCCAAACCCGCGAGCTCGGAGGAGAAGAGCCGGTGAGTGAGCGATGCGATCATCGGCGAGGCGACTTGGTGATGATTCGACCGCGAAAGACTCGCGGGCGCGCGTCGAGAACGTTCCCGCGCCGCGCGTCGAGTCGCGCGAATGCATTGCATTAAATACACGCTGAGGTTGGCGCTCCGCTACGGTATTCATCTCTCGTCGTTCGTTCGTTCGTTCGCTCGTTCATCGATCCGCGAGCGACTTCATGATGTCCACGCACGTCCCTTTGTACCCGCCGCCGAACAAGTTGTAGTGGTTCAGGTAGTGATACAGCTGGTACAGCTTCCGCCGTTCCTCGAAGTGTTCCTCCGTCTTCGGGTTCACTTCAAAGTACGCGTCGTAAAACGCCTGCGGGACGCGAGATGGGATGCGGTAGGACGCCTCCGTCGGTCAGTCGCAGTCGGTCGAAAGGAAGGCGCCGCGCGCGCCGCGATCAAACGCGCGCTTTGCTTTTGCTTTTGAAAGCGACGAACGACTCGAGGCGCGGGGGAAACCAAAACCAACTCATCAACTCGCCTGCGTGAACCCCGCGCACCACGACATCCCGAACTCCGCCTCCGAGTGGCCGTAATACACCGCCGGGTCGAACGCCGACGGTCGCCCGCCCACCGTCCCGATGTTCCCGCTCCACAGATCGCCGTGAAGTATGCTCGGCCGGATCTCACCGCACGGCGCGAACCATCGCGGCATGTTCTCCACGACAGCCTCGCCGAGCTCGGAGAGCGTCGAGTCGCGCGCGAGCTTCAGCTGATGTCGAATCCTCTTCTCGCGGAAAAACTCGACCCAGTCGCTTCCCCACGCGTTCGGCTGCGGCGTGTCCCCGATCGTGTTGTTCACGCTGAACCCGAACATCCCGTCGTCTCTCGCCTCCGCGACCGCGGGCTCCGCCAGGTGCATCCGCGCGAGGCTCGCGCCGAACTCGGCCTGGTCGCCGCGCGCGCCGAAGTCTGAGGGTCGTTCCGTACGAGCGAACGTCGGGGTGGAGTTGAAAGGCGTCATAAGCGGAGTTGAAAGGCGTCGAGGTGCGTCGGGATTGAAAGCGAGGGACCCTGGGCGGAGAGAAACGCCGGGAGAGAAAGTCCTTAAGGATCGGCGTTCACCACGCGGACGGGGTCGTACGGGGACCGGTGTACAGAACGCGCCGAGGTGATCCATGACGATGAACGATCGTCCCTCGCGCGATCCCTCCGGTAGGCTCCCCGCGTGGTACACCCTCGGTATCACGAGCGTCGCCGTCGCGTGGAGCGCGCTCAGCCCCGCGCCCTCGCCCATGAACATCTCCGCGTCCCTTCGCGACGTCTTCGCGAAGTACTTCGCCCCGGACTCGCACTCGTGCGACGAGAACTCGGCCCATCCGCTGCCGCCGAGCGAGATGGACCGCGTCACCGCGCCCGCGTCGGGGAGGTTCGTCTCGATCCACTCCGCGACGCCGCCGGGGGGGTGGGACGACGCGGACGCGGACGCGGCGGCGGACGCGCGGCGCGAGCGCGCGCGGGCGCGGGCGCGGGGGAATGGGACCGCGACGCGGGGGGGGGCGACGGACGCCATGCCGGCCGCGCGACGCGTACTGTCGGAATACGATCGCCGAAGTGAAGTGGACGAGTCCAGTCAGCAAACAGAAGCAGAATGAATCCACCTCGTTCGCGCTCTCTCTCCATCTAATCCTCTCTACGACTAGTTGTAGTCCACGCCCCGTCTACGTACCCCGTCCATCACGTCACAACCGCCACGGCGTCGTGTTCGTGTACCAACCGCCCTCGTACCAATCGCCGTACTTCTTACAATCCTCGTACAACCGGGTCGAGAGCTCCCCGAAAAGCCAATCGCTGACGTCGCCGTGCCCTCTAAACCTCGCCCACTCCGCCGCGTTGAACGGCCCGCGCACACGGCCCGCGCCCACCCCCGCGCCCTTCGCCTCGCACCGCCTGCTCGCCCTCGCGTCCGTCACCCACGGTTCCCGCGAGACGTCGTAGCGCGGTATGTGTGTGTGGTCGTCCCAGACGCGCGATACGGTATCGGCGGCGAGCGTCGAGACGTTTTCTCTGTTGCCTCGAAACGCCGCCTCCATGAGCGGCGTCCACCCGTCGTCGTCGGCGATCGATCGATCCGCGCCGCTCGCGACCAGGTCGCGCACTAACGCGGTCGCGCCCCACTGCGCAGCGATCCCGAGCATGGTCCTCCCGCCGTACGCGCCGCTTCTGTGGTCGAGGACGTCGCGCAGCGTGGCCTCGGGCTGGTGCGCTTTCACGACGTCGTCGATCGCTCGGCGCAGCGCTCGAAACTTCGCGTCGTCCCCGCGGGGGTCGTCGCCGCCCGCGCGCGCATGCTCGTGCGCGATGTCGACGACGCCGTCGTACGCCGCGCGTCTTCGCGCGCGTCGGTCGCGGAGGTGGTCGAGGTATATCGAGCGGTGCGGCCGTCGCGGGCGCTTCGGGGCGATTCGCGCGGCGAGGGACCCAGATCGACAGAGCGTCTCCCACGCGCGCGATGTCGCCAGCGCGTCTCTCCAGACGGCGCAGACGCACGAGAGCCGCGCGAGGTCGCGCTCGTCGGGCACGAGCGCGAGGATGCGCGCGAGGACGTCGTCGGGGAGGCTCGGGAAGAGCGGCGCCGGGTCGGGGTCCGCGGCCGCGGAAGCGGCCGCGACCGGCGACGCCATCAGGTGTGACGACGCGACGCGACGACGCGTTTTGAAGTCGTTCTTCATCGCTCGTCAACGCCTGTCCGCGTCGGCGTCAGTGTAGGGTTGCGCGTGGCTCGGGGTCACGCCGCGATGCGCGCGGCCGGGGTCGACGCGCTCGCGCGCGCGCCCGCGCGCGCGGCGTCGACGCCCCCGTCGCGTCGCCGCGCGATCGCGCGGCGACGCGCGCGCGCGGCGGCGACCTCGAACGACGGACGACGTGCGTCGAAGAGGGCGTCCGACGAGAAGGACGACGACGACGACGACGACGACGGCGGGGGCGGTCCTCCCGTCCGCGCCGCGACCGCGACGGCCGTCGCCGCGGCCGTCGCCGCGATCCTCGCGTCGTTCTCGAGCGGCGCCCCGCCGTGGGACCGCGCGATGGCGCTGAGCGCCGCGGACGTCGGCGACGACGCCGGCGGCGGCCTCGCGGGCGCGCTGTTAGCGCGAGGAAACGGATTAAACGGAGGCGGAAGCGAGGCGTGGGACCGGCGCGTCGCGGAGTGGGCCGTCGACGCGTTCGCGTCGCTGTCGCGGGAAGACCAGGTCATCGTCGTGGAGAAGCTGGAGAAGTTGATCCTGTCCGAGGACGACGCGATTTCGCGCGCGGGGACGTCGTCGTCCCCGCGGAGGACGCGCCCCGGGGATGTAGATTTAACATCCCGAGAAGCAGAAGCAGAAGAAGCGCGGGCGGAGCGTTTCGTTCGCCCGCCCGCGCGCGCGCCGCTCGACGCCCCGGACGTCCGCGTCGTCGTCGACGACGAAGATGAAGCCGCCGCGCTCGCGCGCGCGGACGCGCTCGACGGCTGGGGACCGACCACGCTCGGGACGTCGTCGTCGTCGTCGTTCGACGACGCCGCCGCCGGCGCCGCCGCCGAGAAGAAGGAGCGGAACCCGTTCGTCGGAAGAGGCCTCCCTGACGCGGACGCGGACTACCTCGAGCCGCCGTCCGGCGAGATAACAACGTCCAGCGAGACAACAACGATCGACGAGGATGACGTCGAGGGCGCGATCGCGTTCGCGACCGGCGCGGTCGACGCGCTTAGAGGCGCGGCCGAGAGGGCGTCGCGCGTCGCGTCGACGCCGAGCGATCGCGCGCGGTTCGGATTTCTCGCGCTCGTCGCGCTCGCGGTGGGCGGGACCGCGGCGAGGCTCGTCGCGGACGCGGAGGACGCGCGCGAATCGATCGAGCACGAGCGCCGCCGCGCGACGACGACGACGACGACGACGGACGGCGGCGGCGGCGCGGCGGACGCGGACGCGGCGGCGATGGTAGCTCCGGAGGGGACGACGACGACGTTCGGACGGGGTCGGGAACTCCCGGATCGCGCTCGCGACGCGCCCGCCGAGACGTCGGCGACGGCGGCGGCGGAGAACCCACCCAACCCGAACCCGCCGGGTGGCGCGCCGCTGTGGACGCGACGCGATGACCCGGAGAGGGAGCGCGACGCCGCCGCCGAGGTCGCGACGACGACGACGGCGCCCGCGAGCGGCGCAGTGCTCTGGACGCGGATGGAGGGCGGCGGCGGCGGCGGCGCGAGGCGCGGCGGAGGGAAGGACCGACGACGCGGGGGGCGGCGACGACTCGACGAGGACGTCGACGACGCGTGGGAGGACTACGAGAGAGGGAGGGGGACGATGGACGTGGACGGCGAGTGGCGAGACGCGGAGCGGCGAGAGGTGGGAGAGGCGCGGGGCGGGGCCCGGGGATGGGTCGATCCGCCGCCGCCGCCGCCGCCGCGGATGGTGGACGGTATCGATAAGCTGTATTATTCCGTGTAGCGACGACGATCTCGCCTCGAGAACATGGCGAAACTCCACGCCCCCCGCGGCGGCGCCGGCGGCGGCGGCGGCGGCGGAGGGAATCGATCGCCGCCGCCGGAACACCAATAGCGAGCGTCCTGTTATGTTAACTCATCGAGGCGAGATCGTCGTCGCTACACGGAATAGACTAAGGTGCGTTCTATACACTGGTCCCCATACGACCGCGTTGGCGAGGTGGACGCCGACCCTTAAGGACTTTTGCCGGCGCATCTCTCCGCCCACCCCTCGCTTTCAATCCCCGCCATCGATGCCTTTCAACTCCAACTGACGCCTTTGAATTCCACCCCGACATTCGCTTGTATAGAACTACACCCCTAAGGTAAATCTTAATACGTCCGCTACACGCCCAACGCGGGCGC